ATTTACACCACTTTTGGAAGGTTGTGAGGAATGAAAGGAAGTGGTCGCATATGCACTGCTACTCTCAAGCTGAATTTGCCATAATCCTAAGATTAGTCCTATTGGACATAAGAAGGCTATTTTTTATGGAAAAAGCACCTATTTTTTTTTTGATGAAAGTTCATTGCTATTTTTGCCTAAATGTATATGCTACTGTGCCATGTATGCTAAAAGTGTACCTGCTTGACGGAGAGAGAGAGAAGCAACTGCATGGCACTGTGCTGTACTCCAATTTTTGTTCCTCGAGAGGACACTAGATGGGTTGGTCTTATTTGGTTTTGATACCTGGGTTTCTACCGAATTAGGTAATCTTCATCTAGTTATCTAATTATGAATGATTGGTTGACATGATTGTGCTATAGATGGCCGATGTCAATGCTACTACTTGCTATGACTACTAAAAAAAGTTTTTGTTTGTTGAAAATGAAACTGCTATTTTGGATTTATTTTTAAGAATCATTTGCTATTACTTACTGATCATAATCACATTCATATAATCATACCGATTATTCATGTTTTTTATATCAAAATGAATAATCACATAATATATTTTCAAATATTTTTCATGTATATGGATTAAGTATTGAATTATTGTAGGATGGACCCAACGTTCGATGGTTTTTCGATATTGGACAAACATGGTCACCGAAGAGGATGATGTTCCTAGTTTGGAAGACTACACTTTTCCCATGACAACCTCTTTAGTTGGACACCTCTTTGTTGATTGTTTGAAAAACTGATGAGATGTAGTGTGAAAAACTGACCTTAGTGTGAAGTTCAAGCGATTGATGTGCGGTTACTGTGCAGCCAAGTGGAGGTGCTCCGCCATGGTTTGAAAACTGAAAATTACAAAACTGGCCTTATTCAAGAGGACAAAAACCAAGGAGTCTTTGATCCTCTCTTCGTTCTCCTTCCTGAGGATTTAGTTGTTGTGGCAAGCGATTGATCTTTTGGTTGAACACGAGCAAAGATCCTACAATCTGATGTTTGGGGTTAATCAACCTCGTGGCTCCTTTTGGAGTAGAATTCATGCTTTCTATGAGAAACACAAGACAATGCGTTCGTGAACGTAGAGTTCCATTATGCATAGGTGGATGACTATTTTGGACCAAGCGAACAAGTTTTGTGCATGCTACTGCATATGCGATTGAGCGTTATGGGAATCAAAGTGGTGCAACCATTCAAGACAAGGTTTAATTTGTTATTTGTTTCATTTGTTCATTTGTTTTGTTTTTCTATTTGATTTATTTGTGGAGATATACACATTGATGATTAATAACATGTGTTATAGGTTTCTATCATTGGGACCGCCCTTAGCTTTTGCCTTTTCTTAGAGATGTTCAAGGTGATTAGAATTTGGGAAAAAGGAGAAAACTAGTCAGGACATTCACTCTAATGCACTATTGGAACAAGTTGAAGGGTGAAGACAAATGGAAGGCTTCGAAGGGAAGAGAATGGCGTAGGGTTATCCATGCAAGAAGCCAGTAAGAATAAGAAGAAACAGAAGATTAATGTATGTATCACAAGTGAATGTACACGAACCTCTGGCGAAATAAATTTGGGCCGTATGTCGGCTCATCAGCCAAGTAATCTTGAAACATCTTTTGGTGCCCGCTTTCTCGATCTCGATAAATAACATTGTGCCCTAGGATGGAACCACCGTGTCTTCCTTTTTGGTTTGAATATGTCTCGACAATTGTGAGCCACTATTTTTTCATTTCCTAAGATCAAAATGTCATTTTCATGTACATGGATGATGAATAATCCAACTCCCATCTGCACGGAGAGGAGTGATTTGGAAGCACTTGATGAGATGTGTACTTGAAGTTCAAGTGGCGTCTAGCAAGTGGAGGTGCTGGAGAGGACAAAAAACTTTGATCTTTAGTTGTTGTGGCGGCTTGAGAGCAAAGATCCCGTGTCTTAATCAACCTCGCTCTTTTGGAGTAGTGCATGCTTTCTATGCGACAATGAAGCATGGAACGTAGAGTTCCATTATGCATGCCAAGCTAACAAGTTTTGTGCATGCTACGGCGATTGAGCGTAGGAATCAAAGTGGTGCAACCATTCAAGACAAGGTTTAATTTGTTATTTGTTTCATTTGTTCATTTGTTTTGTTTTTTCTATTTGATTTATTTGTGGAGATATATACATTGATGAAATAACATGGGAGGCCTTGGCAAGGGATTAGAGAGGTGTTGCCGCCGCAAGTTGAAGGGTGAAGCACAAATGGAAGGCCTGAGAGGATTGGCAAAGAAGGAGGCGGCGGCGATGATCAAGTGAATGTACACGAACCTCCGACCAGAAATAAATTTGGCCTGAAAGAATCTTGAAACATCTTTTGGTGCCCGCCCTCGATAAATAACATTGAAAACCACCGTGCTTCCGTTTTGGTTTGAATATGTCATTGTAGGAAAAAAATGACGTCATGATGAATAATCCAACTCCTCTCTGCGAAGTGATTTGGAAAAAAAAAAAAGAGGTGTCATGGGCCTCAAATTTGATTCATTGGAACTCAATTATGGAAAACTATTGGAGATGGACTTTTTTTCCCTCCCAATACCTTTTGGGGAGTTATAAAACTACAAGATTTGAGGAAAAAATTTTGAGGTACTGTTGGAGATGCTCTTAATAGATTAAACATGTTTACAGAAAAAGAACAAAAGCATTTATATAGGATGTCAAATAAGTATACACAATTATAAAAATATGCTTGATAATAAATCTAACGATATTAGTAATACAATTATTCTTTTATAGAAATCAATGGATGGTTTGATTTATGATAAAAATAAAAATACACTTTCTTTAAGGATGGAGTATTATATAACTACTTTTGTACATGTTCGCTGGTTGGTTTCTGGGTTGATAAACCCGGCTGATGCTGGTTTGTTGTGAGAGAAAAACACTGTATCATAATTGATAAGTCTTGACTAAAACTAACAAGCGAACAAGCTGCATGAAGAACCATCGGTCTGTTCGCTTTGTCGTAAACGATCGTAAATTTCTAGCCAGAACAATATTTTTTCTCACACCAAACCAGCCAGCAGTAATAATCCACGATCGTATACGATCGTTTCAGCCCCAGCCGAACAACCTGCATGTTTTTCCCCCTTGTTTGTAGTTAAATTTGGCAAAGTAACAAACGGAGACACGCGCTCTTAAAGGTCCTACCGACTACCGTACCATCAACATGGTCACACGTACACTGGACAAATACTATCATCATAATAATGGGGCAATTGGTGCTGCATGATTAGATTATAATGGTACAATACGTTAGCTAGGATACACTGCAGCGAGATACGCGTACACTAATAACCGGCCGGCAAATGATTCAGACTTGTTTGTCCGTACCTCAACTTACATGTAGTGGAATGTAAAACTAACAAATTTTAACTTTAATCTACTCTAACCCATGTAGATTAAGATAGATACAGCCAAAACAAACTATTAGACGCTCTAGCTTGTTTGGAGCTAGAGATTAATGTTAACAACGGCGTTCGGCGTTGGATGCCACTGACCTCGTGTACTAGGAGGGGGAAGCCTCTACTTTTAGAAATTGATTCTTTATGATTCCATGGAAAATGTGTGTAGAGGGAGCAAAGACCGGAAATGTTTTATGGCTGTTATAAAGAGTGCTTTATTTTTCATACCAAAAAAAAATCTTTCAGAGCCCTATTTGTTTTCCACTTTAGGTTGTGGAAAGCAAATTTTATAAGGGCTCAAGTAACAACCAATATTTCTCAGCTTCTACTATCACAGAGTCACAACTACGTACACTAGTTTTTCGTGGGCCCATGTCAAACAGAGAATTTAGAGAAAGCGGTAGAAATCCTCATGCTTGCACCCTTCAACTTTGCACGGTCACTCTCCTCCGACTAGAAAGAGCGTTGTTGTTTCGTTCGTTCATTCATTCTCGGAAATCGTGCCTTTGTTGGCTTTCGAATAAAAAATAGAATGGCGCCTCGGCTGGCCGACGTTCCGTTTCCGTTGCGTTTCCATGCCTACTCTGCCCGTCCGTGGGCCGTGGCGACCGACCGACGGATCCGCTGCTCAGTCCCCAAGGACGGGCGGACGGCGACGGCCGCCCCGGAGCGATGACTGCGCAACCGCCAACGGGGGTGTGGGCCCCGCCCGGGCACATGCGCCGAGGCGGAGGGAAAAGGCCGCTGGGGGCGGGCAGGACGGGACGGGACTGACAAGCGGACAGCAACCGTCGTCAGGTGCACGAAAATAGCCAACCCCCCGTCTCATCTCACAGAGAGAAACAAAACAAAAGCTTACGTTACGTCTCCAATAAAAAGAATAAAAAAAGCATAGACGAAAGCATAACATGTCAAAAGAATTTTGGACAGGAATCCCGCGCCCCGTAACCCGTCGCTGCAATCTCGCAATCAGGCGAATCTCTAACGACTAATGGAGCAGTAGTTTGTGGTTAGTACGACTACTAACTAAACTACTTCACCCAACAATGCACTACTATTGCTAATCCTATTTGTAGCAGAACCACCAGTCTGCAACTGTACTCAATGCAGTCGATTAGTTGAGGCAGCTGAGCTATAGGGCGCGTTTAGATGCAAAAATTTTTGGTTTTCATTACGGTAGTATTTTCGTTTATATTCGATAATTAGTGTTTAATTATAGACTAATTATGTTCGAAAATTTTGTCTCGACAATTTCTTACTCAACTGTATAATTAATTTTTTTTTAACTATATTTAATATTCCATACATGTGTCGTAAGATTTGATGTGATGGCACTGAGCAAAAAAAATTTTGGAAACTGAACAGCAGCCCGGAAAGGGAGAGTGGAGGAAGGGGGGACCAAGAACACAGCAGCAGGTGGCCTGCTGCGGGTTTGCTTTGCTCGTCGATTTGAGCCCCCCCGCGCGGGAAGGAGGAGCAAGAGCAGAGGGAGGGAGAGAGGCCTCGAGAGGAGGGAGCAGGAGGAGGAAGACGCCAATGGCGCCGCCTAGTATTCCGACCGTGTCTACGGTATGCACTACTGCTAGTACTGGTACTACTACTAGTACTCCATTTCATTTTCTCTTTTTTTTTTCTTGGCTCATTTCGGATGCGGGGGAGAAAAGGGGGCGGGCGGCTTTGGATCCTCGCATTTATCGCTCGCTCCGATGCAACATCGCACGCGCGCATCGCCACTCCACTCCAGTCGCCTCGAGGCCCGAGAGCATTCGGAGGAGGAAGGAGATCCGATTCCGAGCCGAGCTCCCCCACCGGCCCCGCCGTACCTGCAGGCTGCAGCCGCTCGCTCGCTCTGCTGTGCCGCTGTGCGGCTGTGCCTGTGGACTCCACTCCCCCCCTCCGCCCCTCACATGGCGAGAGAGGAGAGCCGCAGGTGAGGTTGAGTGAGGTGCGGTGCGGTGGTGCCAGCTAGTAAGACCAGTTTAGGCCTGAGCTGTGGCTGTGGGAGAAAAAAGGCTGTGGACTCCTCCCCCCTCCGCCCTTTATCTCTCTTGCATGGCGAGATTCCACCAATTTCGAAAAAGAGAGAGAAATCAACTTTCAAAAAATGAACAGGTGAGGTTGAGTGAGGTGCGGTGCGGTGGTGCCCGCGTTTTTATTTGTAAAAATTGTCTTATAAACTATTTAGTCCCTTTCTCCTTCCCGGATCGTGTTCTTGCGCTTTTTGCCTTGAAGTAAACGGGGCCTAACTACTAGTCCCTTTCCCCTTCCCCGGCTCGTGTTGTTGCGCGCTTGTCCGCCTTTGCTTGTTCCTTGCGCTCTCGGCTCTCCTCCTCTCCTCCCCTTCTCCCCTCTCCCGTCCTGTGAGCAGGCAGTGAGCTGGCCGGGCATCCGGCAATGCCGCTTTTCCAATCCCACCTGCGCCGCGCTGTCCTACTGACCTAAAGCGGAGTATAGGGAGGTAGAGGAGAGAGAGACCTAGAGCTGAGTTCAGTTCTCTCACGGAGAGCGAGCGAGGGTGTCCTTCCTTGTGCGTTCGCTCTTGTGATGCGCGGCATTCTCCGTGCACCCGTTTAATTCCCCCCAGGTACGTATCTATCAATGCCGCCATTCATGGCTTCTCTTCTCCCCCAATCGTCCTTGCTTCTTGCTCGCTCGCTATACTGTACTAGTACTTATTACTCCGTATTTAGTACTGCTCCTCCATGGAGTTCCCTCAAGCGGCCCCGCGTTTTCTCTCTCTCCCTCGCTCGCTCTTGGGTTTCTCCGCTCAAACTGGGTTCGGCTCCGGGAAAGATGGGATTTTGAATCGATTGGCGGCGGATTCCTCTCGGAGGTTTTAGGTGATTGATTTCAGACTGTGCCATGTGCTCAATGATTTCGCCTTCATTCGCGCCTCCCTCTATGTTCGCCGCCGATGGATTTTTATTTCTCTGCTGCCTCCCTCTTCAGCTGGGGAACGGGGATTAGTAGTCGGCTGGCCTCCCTCTTCAACTGGGGAACGGGGGGGCGTCGCCTGTTTTTCCTGAGATTCTACTCTACCGTGATCGGGTTTCGTGTTGCTGATGAGCAGTGTCAGTGTGTGTGAAAGTGCTGCCAAGTTGTGCTAAAGAAAGGAACCGGTGGTTTGCTGCACATGTTGACGGGGACCAATTTTTTTCTCCTGTTTTTCTTTGCCAAGTTGAATCATCCTAGGCGAGATGTCCTTCTCTTCCTCAACAGATGTGTGGAGCACGCATACTAGTATTTGTTTGGCCTCATTCTATCCGGACCAAGGAATTTGGATGCTTGTGTTGTATCAACGTGTTAGTTTTACTTCACAAAATATTCTGATAGAGAAGGATCAGCTGCTATCTGCCTTTGGACCATCATCCTCCGAATATTTAATTCCAATAGTCTCTACCTTTCACAGTTTCTGTTATACAAGTTAGAACTGCATTTTTCATAATTTGTTATCATTTTTTTCTCAAGTGATAATGTATACTGCATTTTTTTATTCATAGCAGTAATCAGCATCTCTGCTTATGGTGCACAGCTGTCTCTCCAATGCCAAGTATTGATCTCTCAGACCTGCACATGGTGATAGCCCCGAAGAGGGAGAAAGCAGAAGAACCACTTTTGATCTTTTGAGTGGTTCATGGTTATGGATCGTGCGGGTTGGCTCTGGAGGCGCAAGTCGTCGGATAAGAGCCCCGGGGGTAGTGACAGCTCTCTGTCTGTGTCGTCACATTCCGAGCACTGCTCTGACAATCAGGTTCAGCACCATGCCTTAATTTGTGTCCTGCACATTTTTTTCATTTCATCAGTACAGTTTGGTCGCAGCTATTACTTTTTTACTTCATGATAATGTATTTGGAGTTTGCCATAATTTTTTTGAGAATTGTAGTTCTTTTCAGTTGTATGACCCTGGAATTTCCTAGGGAGGAAGTTTCCTAATATTTGGGTAATTGGGTCCTGTTGATTTCGAATTTTAGGAATCATTGGTAATTTCCTTAGTTGTACTGATGCTAGAACTCATTGGTAGTTGTCTATTAGTTAGGTTAATTAACTCAAGTGGGAGTTCTGTAAACTTGATCTGCTGCTACCTTTCACCCTGATATTTGGCTGGTTGATACACTGTTTAGTGTTTAGCCATGACCCATGTGTTTTCTAACTATAAGAAATTCATATTTCGTTACCCTTGCTAAAATGATCAGCTATTGGATCTTCTTAAATTTTTCTTTTACTTTTTTCCCAATACAAATAAGCAATGAACACATTTGAGGGATTAATGCAGATTTTGCTCAGTCCTATTTTTCATCCTATTGTCTCTCTTCACCTTTAAAACTGTTGAATTACCAGATGAGAATGCCACCTTTTCTTTTTAATGGACATATGGAATTAGTACTATCTGATAATTTTCTTTGGACACATGATTTAGCCCGCTAGCTTTGGCAAAAGGGATACAATGTATTATTGAGTAAATAGATTTTAGGTCTTGGAAGTTACATTTATTTGACAGTTTGACTTAAATTTCCCTAGAGTATTAAGTTACACAACATCAATCCCATTAAATGTACTTTTTGTTAACAATCAAAATCTTTGCATTTCCTTGGAAGAACAGTGAATGATTTGACCACTCAAATGGTGGCGAGTATGTCAGCTAAGGATTTTTAACTTAGACATAGATAACTTCTAGTGCTAGCTCTGGGACACAGTTTGAATGCTGCAATGAATGATTCACTTTTTTCTATGAAAATAGTTGGTCTATATGTTAAACAGTTGAATCATGAGATTTAAGTCCCATCTCAGATAATGCTTTGCGATTTCAGGGTCAATCTCAATCCCCTGGAGCCTCTTCAAGAAGTAAGTATGATTACAGCCAAGAAACTGGAGCAGCAAGATCCTTGAATGGCAAGCTAGCAGCAGGGGTCAATTTGAACAATTTTAATCCAGAGCATGGTCAATTATTAGAACAACATGTATCCTCCAATGTTAGAGATGAAGGGATCAAGGAGACCTTGGAGAGTTTGAACTACAAACTTTCTGCTGCTCTTTCGACCATCAGAGCAAAAGAGGACTTAGTGAAGCAGCATGCTAAAGTCACAGAAGAGGCTGTTGCAGGTAACTTTTGCTCCTTAGTAAATTCTCTCGAAATGAGTGCAAAAAAATATTTAGTTTTGAATTTTATAATTGAACCTATAAAGTCATCGTGAGAGTACAGTTAGATTCACATCTTTTTTCTAATAATGAATGACAATCTTAAATTTGCATGTGTGAGAAGTTTGCTTTCATCCTATGTAGCCGTTCTCTTAATCTTGTTTCCGAAACTTCTTTTGTAGGTTGGGAACAAGCTGAAGCTGAAGTTACTACTCTGAAGGGGCTACTTGAAGCTTCTTGTCAGAAGAATGCTTCTCTCCAGGATCAAGTCAGCCACCTAGATGAGGCCCTCAAGGAATGCGTCAGGCAACTGCGGCTGGCAAGGGAAGAACAAGAGGACAAAATCCTTGAAATTGTTTCGAAATCTCTGGTGCCGCAGTCTGAAAACCCTGAGCTCCAAAACCATATCGCAGAGCTAAAAAAGCGCCTGGAAGTGACCAGATTAGAAGCGTCATCTTCCATGCTATTACAGCATGATCTACAAGAAAGGCTTCAGGCAATTGAGAGAGAAAACTTGGACCTTAAGGCCAAGCTTCAGGCAACTGAGAAAGAGAATATAGATCTCAAGGCCAAACTTCTTGTACAGTCCAAGGATCTGAAGATACTAATGTTGGAAAGAGATCTGAGCAACCAAGCAGCGGAGACAGCAAGTAAACAACACTTGGAAAGTGTTAAAAAGATTGCCAGGGTTGAGGCAGAATGTCGTAGGCTACAGCATCTAACGCGGAAAACAACACTGATCAATAATTCTAGGTCTACACAAAACAATTGCTGCATGGAATCACTGACTGACAGCCAGTCCGACCATGGGGAGCATATGGTGGGTGTTGATAATGATCTGCAAAATTCCGACTCATGGGCATCGGCTTTGATTGCTGAGCTTGATCAGTTCAAGAATGGCAAGGATGGTTCAAGAAATATTGTGAACAATCCTGTTGAAATTGACATAATGGATGATTTTCTTGAGATGGAAAGGTTAGTTGCATTGCCTGAATCAGACGGCACAAGCTCTAACTTTGAAATGGAAACAGATTCTGACAATGCTGTCGCAAGAAGCAGCTCCTTGAAAGTCGAAACTGAAGAATTGCAAAACAAGGTCGCAGATTTGCAGGAAAATTTTGAAGCAATTGCAAGCGAGAAAAGGGAGCTTGAGATGGCACTTATGGAAGTTAGAAATCAGCTTGACATTTCCTGTGATGCGCTAGTGGCGGCAAAGAACAGGCTGGTCGAAATGCAGATGCAGTTGGAATCAGCAAATGATTCCAAACTTTCTGCTTTGGAAGATGTGGAGCGTTTGGACTCTGAGAGGAAGGCTTTGGAGTTGCAGTTGGAGTCCAAATCTGTAGAAGTTGAGGAACTACTTATGGCTGTAGCTTCATTGGAGGAAAATGCAGAGCAGAAAGAGTTGGAGTCACAGTTAGAACTGATGTCAGCACAAGCTACAGAGCTTCGCCTGACTGTGGCATCACTGGAAGAGAGAGTTCAGGCTGAGAGAGATCTTTCTGTGCAGCAGAACAAAAATGCAGAAGCCATGTTGAATGCTAAAGAAGAACTGGAAACACAGCTGTGTTCAGCAAACACTGAAATGGGGAAACTGTGTGACATTGTCCAGGCACTAGAGAATGAAGTCAAAATGGAGAAGGCACTGCGTGAAGAATTAACAGCACAGTTACAGACAAAGGTTGAAGCAGCTGTCGATGCAGTTAAAGAATCATTGGAGGCACAGCTGTGTTCAGCGAATACTGAAGCAGGGAAGCTTAGAGATGTTGTCAAAGCACTCGAGGATGAGGTAGAAAAAGAGAAGGCATTGCGTGACGAGCTTGCAGTAAACATAGAAGTGAAAACTAAAGCAGCAAGAACTGCTGAGGCTCTTAAAGAATCCTTGGAGGCACAGCTGTCTTCAGCAAACACTGAAATACAGAAACTGGAAGAGATCACAAAACAACTACAGAGTGAGTTAGAGAAGGAGAAGACACTTCATGAGGAATTCTCAACACAGTTAGAGATGAAGATTGAAGCAGAGAGAGCTCGTTCTATGGAGTCTGCTAAAGAATCGTTAGAGGAACAACTCCAGTTAGTGAACTCGGAAGCTGCAAAACTGCGCGACATGGTGACTGCACTTGAGCACGATGTGGAAAAGGAGAAGGCATTTTCTGCAGAGCTCCAGATGCAGCTAGAAGCTCTAGAGGCTGTAAAGAAGGTGTTGGAGTCGGAAGCGGAGTCAGCACATCAGGATGCCAAAATTCTCAGGCAGAAGGTGGAGTCATTGGAAGCAAAACTCAAGGAGCAGATGTCGTTAACAGACGAATTCATTGCCAATGTAGAGACTTTGCAGTCAGATAGGATGGCTATGGAGCATAAACTTAAAACAGCAGATAGGGAACTCATAAAATTGACAAACAAGGTGAGCTTGCTCCATAGGGAGATCGAGCAGGAGAGATTGCTGTCAGAAGAGTACGAACAGAAATGCCAAAAGCTGGAGGCTCAGTTGTCAAGAGATAGCCGGGATGCAAAGCTCTGGCGGCTCGCAAACTCGAATGGAGATCTGAAGGTTAAGAAGGTAAATTTCTTCCCTTTCTATAGCACCTGAACCTAATAGACCCGTATGAATTTATAGTACTTTAAGCATATCATTTCAGAGGACAATTGGACAAACAAGACCATTAGCATCACTGAATTCAAGTCAAAATGTTGTCATTTTTGTAGGAGAAGGAGCTTGCTAACGCAGCTGGGAAGCTCGCAGAGTGCCAGAAGACAATTGCTTCTCTGGGGCGTCAAATCAAATCACTGACAGACCTCGACAGTGTGGTGCTGGAGCCTGAAAGGCTTGAATCCAGCAGGGACATGCCATTGCCACTGGACTTCAGAAACGATGATGCTGAATTTGCTATGTTTACGGATGACTTATACGACTTTGACCTTCCAAACAACAACACAAGCTTCTTTTCTCCACTCCCATCAATCCAGCCCTCGTCCCCACCCTCGGAGATGTCAGTATTCGCAGGGGGGCTCTCGACTCTCAGCAGTTACAGGAGCAAAAGAGCAAGTAGAAGGTGATGAAAAAAAAAGGCTACCCAGATGTCATACTAACAAACAGTCCATGGATGCCGCCATATGTGTAGGTAGGTCGATGTACATTACAGAAACTGAATGTTAGATTTGTGTGATGAACATCCATTCCAGCAAGCGCAGTTTTTATAGCCTGCTTGATGAGGTCTTACTGGCGGTCGTTTGCTGCAAAATGTAAACCTGGTTATCTGTGTGTGATTCTAGTTACATGAAAGTGCATATTCAATGTTCATATGATGTTTGTACGTGTTGCTGTTCAACTTTGCTTGCTGTGGTGACCTGCGATGAATCTTTGTTGTGCAGCGTCGAAATTTTCTGTTCACCTGGAAGGTGTGGATATGGTAACAGCAACTATCACGGCAGATGGAAAATGGTCTCCTATTTTTATTTTTATTTTTATTTTTGAGACCCAGTAGCCAGTATAGACACGTACACGAGTCAACCACAAGGCCTCGTTGTCAACGGACAGTTTTCACTACAAGGGATGGTCTCCTAAAAACCTAAATAATTTGGATATGGCACTATAAAACTTTTAGAATAATAAAGAATATTAGCGCTAAATTGGGTATTCCAGCCTGAATGTGGAATATCTCAATTTCTACCAAATTTTGGTTCCTTTCTGAAAGTTAATCATTCTGAAGCTTCACGTACGAAGGTGTCCTGCTGACGAGGTCTAACATGGGTATGTTAAGTCCTTTGGTCAAGGACATAACAGTTCAGCTAACCCCCGACCGACTCTCGCTCTGAGTCAGCTAGAGGCTCAGAGACTACACCCATCGAGTGTGCTATAGCGCTCACCCTCTGGCAAAAAAGGAATGGCTAGGCAGCCCGTAGATGGCCCTCTCTCAAGGAAGTCTCCAATATCAGAAGGGCGAGCCAAGAAAGGCAGAGCCCTTGTTCAAGACGCCCTCGCTCGGGCCTCGAGGGCTTGGCCACAACGTGGAGATTCCCAGCCTAACAGGAGCCTCGGCCAAGCCTGGCATGCCAAAGAAGCTAGGAGAAGGCTCACCTAGGGAAGGCTCCGTTGCGGCAGACAACAATACCTGGCGGTTTAGCCAAGATGCAATAGAGACGTCAGGGAGTGGTTGCGGTTTTGTCGAACACCAGCTACAAGACAAAAGAAGAAGAAGAAGACCTAAGCCCAAGGCAAGAAGCCCTAGGTAGAGAACCATTTGCCTTTTACCCCATGCCCTCATCAGTATATAAGGGCTAGGGGGGGCATGGGCTCCTATAGAAGGAACTGAACCCCATCCGAAAACAAGAACTTAGGACAAGGGACTCAACCCTGAGAAAACCCTAGATGAAGCATGGCGCTACCCCCTACATCTCTCTATATTCCTCCATTATGAGAACTCTAGATTGAGCATTTCTAATACAAAGAACACCCATTGTTGGCCGTAGGGCTTAGAGACCCGAACCAGAATAAATCTTCCACGTCTCTAAGTGTTTTGAGTGCTTAAGCCACCGAAGGTCTACACATCGACCCACGTCAAACAACACGATGCTTGCCATGGTTATAAACCCACGACACCTTCAAACGAAGCATATACAACTTCAGAGGGTTATGTAATTAAATATAAGGGGATTGCGTTATCTGAGGCCGGATCCCCAATAGTAACCTTATCTTGGTGCCGGTTTAAGTGCTTCTTTGTGTCTTCGGTTAAGTCAATCTGAAATCTTTGGATATGATCTTCTCAGCATCTATACATATCACAAGCTGCAAAAACACGTTGGCACTATAAAACTTGTAGAATAATAACGAATATTAGCACTACATTGGGTATTCCAGCCTCAATGTGGAGTAACTCAATTTCTGCCAAATTTTGGTTGGCAATAAGAGGTTTATTTGTCTAGGTATATATGAAGAGCACAGAAGAATTGGACAAGCAACAGCAAGTTAAGAACAAAAGGAAACTGCATGCATGTGAATATGTGATGATACCTTCATGTGTCTCCGATGGATTCCAAATCACAGTAGTACTAGTTTAAAGTTTTAAGATGCTAAAATGGAGTGTCTTAGGCTCCAGCTTACATTTCCAAAAGAAGGCCAATCTGTGTGTAGGAAGGACTCACAAGCTAGGAATATGATGGGGACCAGTAACAAAGAACAAAAGGCTCTTCATGCAATGATCTGTCCTTTGCATTGTGTCCTCCCATGGATTGGCAACATAATTTAATTATCGTGTATATAAGAACCAACACAGCTCAAAAGAAGTTCGATAGATCTGAGTAAGGAGAAAGCACAAGATTCGGACAAAAATAAAGAAGCTAGGAATATGAGATGTATTCCCAACCTAAATAATGAAGTATTTTCTTTTTGCGACCGTACTTTATGACTGTCTGTAACAAATTGACTAGTAACAATGAGGAAATTATATCCAAAATACATACTGTAATATATATATACCATATGCCGCTTAAGTGCCGAAATCTTGCATGCACCCAAAGTCGGAACAATGCAATACGTTCTTCCCAGATTATGTTGAGTATGCCTGACGGTGTGGTTATTCTTTTCTTTGGATTTTGTTTTCTCATATGCTCGAGAGTGGGCATTAATTCCTAGCATAAACTTTAGAAATGCATATCTTTGTACTGTGTGGTTTTGCTTTGTGTGGAGCCTAGAGGCAAGTGGAGTACTAAGCATTTAGCACCCCTACAATGCTTATATAGCAAGTTTGCTCGTTTCAGCAAACAGCAGAAACTCGGTAACCAGGCAGCTGAGAAGCCACCGCGATGTGTTCCATGAATCCCTTGCTGCTAGCATCAGCATGCTTTGGCTCCTGGAGGGCACTGAGCTTTCTTCTCAATAGGCAAGATCATTACGGGCCACCAGCGGATGCCGTGGCAACCCAAGCATTCACTGAATTGCTCGAGGGCGACGACACGTCAAGCCCGCCGCCACAGCAGGAAGCTTCTGATGTCGAAGAAGGCGCCGATCACACGGCGACGACGAGGGCGTGGCCTCCTACTGCTGCACCGCCGCTTCTGGAGGGTGTCACCGTCGACGGCGACACGGCACTACACGTGCTGGCTACCTGTGGAGACGGCGACAGCTTCTTGAGGAGCGCTGACATCGCCTACCGCCGGGCCAGCTACCTCCTGGCCGCACAGAACGGCAAGGGTGACACACCCCTGCACTGTGCTGCCCGAGCTGGGAGGCCCAGAATGGTCGCTCGTCTCATCGCTCTGGCCAGCGGCGGCGGCGGAGAGAGGCTCAAGGAAGTCGTGAGGAAGGAGAATGGGGGGAAGGAGACCGCCTTGCACGACGCCGTCCGGAATGGTAGCAAGCACACGGTCGACCTTCTCATGGAGGCTGATTCGGAACTGGCTTAATTTGTTTCCTAAACAAGGCACGTCGCCATTGTATCTGGCCGTCTTGCTAGAACGCCTCGACATTGCCAAGTCTCTGTATGTCATGAGTGGTGGGAATCTTTCTTATTCTGGACCTAATGGGCAAAATGGACTGCATGCTGCTGTTCTTCGAGGCCAAGGTATATGCTTAATTGTTCAATTGGTCAACATGTGTTGCTTGAAAAGCATTGTTGAGTTTTAAAATCATACAAAAAAAAAAAAATGATATTTGGCAACAAGACATTATGTTACATTTTCAGTATAAAAAACAGCATTATATTAGGTTTAATTTTCCATGCAAAAACCTGCAATCTTTTGTATACTCTTCAGTTCCACAACAGTAGAGAATTCTTTAATTATGTGTTGCAAAGTATTATGAAAACTTTGATGCAAAAAAGATCGCACTTGGTTATTTTCTGTGACTCAGTATCAGCAACTACAATACAGAGATATATTAAATTATTTTACTATTACAGATTATTACTGATTAGAGGTTGCTAAGCATCCACTTTAATCCTTGCGAGCACGCTAGGAAAACAATGATAAATATTAAAATACTCATAAAAATCAAAGATCTGGCCATCAATTTGGTAAATTCTAATAGCCACTAATAATAATAGCTGATCGATTTTGTTTTCTAAAACATTATCAAGCTTACATAAAAATTATCCACCTCTGCCTTATAAAAAGAACAAAATTAAAGTAATCCTCTAAATTTTTATTTAAGTTACCCACTTATCATTGTAATAGTCAAATAGATAATCTAAGTAACTCCGCCTTGATGTCTAAATTACCCATCTCGTCACTGTAATATACAATTTAAGTGAACCCTTGAATTTGCATATAAATTACACACTTTTGTCACTTTCATATGTAAACTAAAATATCCCCTCGAATCCACGTGATCTAATTATAAGAACAGTCTGTTATGAAGAAATAAGTAACCATAAAGTATGCCTAGCAGTCTCTGTATGCCACTTCTTTCACTATAGTATAGAAAAAACTAACTTAAAGTAATGTGGCATGTCATCATGTAGGTCAAGTATAGGAGCATGGATGAGCGATAAATATACGCTTTTGCATTTTAGCAATCATGGAAAAATGTCCTCCAGATGATTCACCTACCAATGACACTAAAATACATTTTAAATTATATTAATACCCACGATAATTGTAGCACCCGGTTTTAAGAACAAAACCAGATATGCACCATATGTGAGCCCAGGAAGTCAAATCTCACATATAGCTACAAATAAGGATAATATCAAAAGACAATGCTCAATATATAACATACTTGGTATAAATGATATAACCTTAGACAGCAAACAGCGGAAAGACAACTCCGATCTTCAGGTGAAGACTCCAATTCCACAGGGACGACTGACTGGTTGATCACAAGACTAATTCCTTCAAACTCTAGCAATCTAGTACCCATCCGGAATTTTTCTAAAGATTTAAAAAGTAAAAGCAAGCGTAAGTACATGTCGTACTCAATAAATATAACATGGGGTTCATGAGGCTCAAAAGGCTGACACTGGTTTAACTGCGATTACCTTTTAATGAGTCATCTTTTAGCAATTGGGTGGCAACAAAGTTATCATAAGCCCATAAACACATGATCAGATAAACATGAATAATAAATAGCATAAACAGTATTAATTAGTGAGCATCTTTATCATCAGTATCATCATTAACCATTAATGATCATCTATTCCGTAAATATTCCAAGGCCGCTCGTGATCGTGAGCACGGCTAATATACCAGTTTTACATTCTACAGAGGTTGTACACTTTCACTGTGAGTCGTGATTTACCCTTTCGTCCGAGGTAGCTAATCTCTTGTCGGCAGGGTTCACTATAAAGCCTTTCAAAGGTTCGCCTAACAAGTTAGGGTCATTAGATTCACTCGGCAAATAGATGTAGAGACCCCCTTTCCGATGGCACAATGACGCACAACATATACACAAGAGGATAGAGGCCGCACTATATCTGATTTGGCAAGCCATTCTTACGCCAATAAAGGTAACCACTAATTAGCTATAAAAGGTCCTCATATTAAGCTAAAGCCAGAGCCATGTAGCCCTCACAGCTGTACTGTAAGTCTTGAATGATCACTTATAGATAAGTTCTTAGGGAGATGATCACTTATAGATAAGTTCTTAGGGAGAAGAATCTAGAACACCATAAAAACAGCCCAACGCTCTAGTCCTGGGTTCCATGTTGCTAAAAAGCATATTTTAGTGTTTATTGCATATTTTATTAGTCAAGTTATAAGATCATGGTTGTAGTTGAGCATTAGCATCACACTACCCAATACATATCCCATAGGAGACAAGGTATAAGTTCAATTCTAGGAAATCTCTATCAAGGTGACACATGCAATATGAATTAAATGCATTAAAATTGATAGGGAACAAGGATGATCCCATGCTATACTTGCCTTAAACTTAGATCCTTCTTCTATTGATTCGTAGCCTCCAAAGAACTGCTTCTTGATCACCACGTAAAACTCACCGACTGGACAAGATCATTAAGCACCACACAAGCATCCGAACAAACATGCATAGCATTCAAACATAACTATATTAGAACAATACATCAATCAGTGAAAAAGAATTTAAAATCAAATCTACGGGTTGCTACAATCACACGGACGCGAAAAGCACGCTAATTAATCGGAGCTACGGTAAAAAATATATATCTACCGATAGATTCTATTTTAATTATAAAAAAACAAACATGCATAGCATTCAAACATAACTATATTAGAATTATAGGCTTTATTTATTTTAATTATAAAACATATATAAGATTCTTTAGAAAAATATCTAAATTGTTTTAAGCCAAATTATATTTGTATTAGAAAACTAACATAAGATTAATCTTATTTTATTTACAAAAGACAGAGGTGAAAAGCCCTAATTGCTTTCAATTGAAAAACTAATTACATATAGATTAATCAGATTACTATTTTATTCAAAAGCTTTAAACATGTTAAACAATACCACTAATACGTAGATTACGTCGTTACGAATCTAACGCAACTTGAACGGGTCAAATCGGAGTTAAAATGGAGAAAATATGGCCTAACGAAGATAGTGACAATTTTGTAAATAGATGAAACTTGATTTTTGAATTTAAAATAAATAAAACCTGATTTTAAATCTGCCAAGTATTGCGGGCACTAATTTAAGAAAAGTCAGGGGCTAAAACAGAAAACTATGGGCCTGGATCTAATTATTTTTCAAATAGATGGACTACGGGTTGATTAGGTAGATTTGCAGGGGCTATTTAGCAAAAGGGATAGGCGAAGGGGTATGGGCTGATGTGAGCCGTTGGATCAAATCCGAACGGCTCGGATTAGAAGGGAAAGAGAGAGAGGGGATCGGTTGCCAGAACAGTAGCAATGGCGGTGGTGCCATGGCCGGCCCTCGTTGGAGTTCACCAAAACGGTGATTCCGGGCTCGATTGCTTCAACGGATAGCATGGGGAGACAGAGGGGGAAACGTCGAATCCATCTAAGGTATTGGTTGAAGCAAGGAACGAACAAATATGACGGTGAGCTCAGTTTTGGCGGTCGGCAATGATTCGACGACAGCGCGAAGCTAGCAGAGAGCAAGAGGGGGCATAGCGTGGTACCGTCCGCTTGCTTACCTCCACACGAAGACCGGAGAGCGGCTCGATGCAACGGCGAGGCACGACAGCGACGAGATGCGCTCGGCGGTGGCTGCAGCGATTAGGGTTCGGGATAGGGCTAGGCGAGGGCAGAGCAGCTCGGGGCGCTATTTATGGGGGCTCAGTAGCTTGAGACGCAAGCCAAGGCAAGGAGACGGGGCGGAGGCGGAGGCGGCAGCGGCAGAGTCCGCGTTGGGGATGGAAGGTAGGAGACGCGTTTGACAAAGGGTCCACCTGTCAGCGAGAGAGGGGGGCCAGGGCTGTCGGTCACAGAGAGAGGGAGAGGAGCGTGCGCGGCAGCTTCGGCAGCTGCGGCTGCGGGCTAGGCCGACGCCAAAGAGAGAAGGAAAGGAGGGGGGCGCGCTTGGGCCGGGAGTAACAGGCCCATGCGGGTTAGGAGAAGAGAAGAGGGGGCAGGCCGACTGTGGGCTGAAAGAGAGAGGGCGAGGGAGAGAGACATGCCGAGGGAGAGAGAGATTTTCTATTTTTTTCCTTTTCTATTTTCCCTATTTCAAATCCAAATTTAAATATGAACCAATTCAATTTCATATATTATTTCAAATATGCTTTTCAATTCGAATAAAAAGGAGCAATTTTGGTAAGTTTTCAAAAAAATAAATTTTACAAGTTTTTTTTAAAACTCTTTTATTTTCCCTTTTTCTTTTCTTTGATTTCAAAAGCCTTTTCAAATTTATTTCCAAAAGCAATTTAAATTTTAATCAAAACCACTCAACCAAATAAATCAAATGCACCGGCATGTATGCTCAATCATGTTGCTACACCCTATGATAAATTTTAATTTAATAAAAAATTATTATTTCCCTATATTTTCATGAGCACAAAAATTCAAAATTACCTCAATTTACATCTACTTCAAAAGGAGCAAATTTTAGGGTGTTACAATAATAATTTATGTATATGTTTTTACGTTATATAAGCTACACACGTGATGAAAAGGAGTAAAACAAGACGGATTTGATTATGGTTCCTCTATCCAACGTAGTGATGAGAAGTCGTTTTTCTTTCTCCTCTTAAAATGGGACAGGAAGCCGCCCAGCACCGCCTCGTGCCACAGCCGGCGCCAAGGAAGGGAAAACGTACCTCCTGGCTGTCAAGAAAACTACAGGCTTATATTCTTGTAATTATAGTGCAATAAGGTTCTCGTAAAGAATAATTGCTGGCGGATATCCATATTCAGTGTGGCACTCAAAATCTAGAGCTTACAAATTGATAGACTACTAGCATATATAATTTATGTTTATATTTACGTAGGGTACGATTCTTGTTTGCTTCGTTACAAATTAAACCTAGCTAGCTACTAAATGAATAGAACAAGGCAGTTAACAAGAAGTGTGTCGTCATTTGCAGAGATGACAAGAATGCTACTGCGATGGAACATTGGCCTGACAACGCAAGGGGATGAAAACGGGAGCACACCCCTTCATTTCGCAACATCAGTGCTGCGCCCAAAACCTGTAAACTACTGGATCCACCGCCCTTGGATCAGTGGTATTTGGCATCCAGGCATGCCATTCGAACAGGTGCTGCAAGCCAACCTAGCCCCAATGTTTCAGTCAGATAACGAGGGGCTATTCCCAGTGCACATTGCTGCCTGCATAGGATCGAACAAGGCCGTTGTGAAATTTCTGCAGAAGTGTCCCAACATCGCTGGGCTGCGTGACACTAGAGGAAGAACTTTCCTTCACATCGCTGTCGAGAAGAAGCGATGGCATGTAGTCTCGCATGCTTGCAAAACTCCGTCGCTGTCGTGGATTTGGAACATGCAGGACAACGATGGGAACACTGCACTACAATCGGCAGTAAAACTTGGGTTTCAGGACATATTTTGCTTACTCTTGGAGAACCTGCAGGTTAACTTAAATATAACCAATAACAATGGGGAGACTTCTCTGGACCTGTCGGATAGTAATATTCGTGATGGGTCTTTTTTTCTTGGGTAAGTAGTATATTCAGATTCATATTTCAGGCCGGCCTGCCGTCTTCAAAGGCATGCTAATGTGACTGAATATATACTGATAGCATATATATATGTTTTCTTTTTCAGAATCCCAGATTCTTGATCAATAGCGCATTAAAGTTTTGTCATGCTAAGCACGGTAACCGTCGGATGGACCACTTTGAAGAACACTACATTAAGCCACTGGATGAAGAGAAAGAATCAAAGAAAATGACAAGTTCCACGCAGACTCTGGGCCTCGGCTCAGTGCTCATGGCGAGCGTGGCATTTGCTGCAAGTTTCACTCTACCTGGAGACTATGGTGACAATGGCAAGCCAAATCTGTCTGGGAGGTACGTCTTTGACGCGTTCATCGCCGCCAACTCGCTGGCGTTCGCTTGCGCCGGCATGGCTACCATCAACCTCATGTACTCAGGGACAGCGATCGTCGATGTCCCGTTGCGCATCTGGCACTTCGACATAGCCATGTTCTTCGCGTTTGGTTCGGTCACAAGCCTGGGCACAGCCTTCGCGTTAGGCTTGTACGTGACTCTGGCTCCGGTAGCTTATATGACTGCAACTGCGATCTGTGTGGTGGCGTCAGTTGTGTCTCTCTGCGGATTCATGGACCCCTTGCGAGGCCGCGCAGTAGCAAGAGCGTTGTATGCTAGAATGGGGAATCAGGCGTTGCTGATCTTTGCACGCATTATCATCCTCCGAGGAGCAATGGTCTATTGGCCCTTGGTTACAAGCTTCATTTCGGCAGCGATTTCAGCTAAATATCGCGAGAAATGATGGACATATATCAAACATACTTGGGACGGAGGTGATGAAGAGATGAAATGGGAACATTTATGTTCCATACGCCGGTCAAATTAAGTTTTGGCATCTCATCAGTGATCATGTGTGCACTGCACTATATTAGTATTTAGTACATATATTGGTACACAATTGGGAAATAACGATTTTTTTGTGATTTATGAAAAAAAAATGTGTGCAATGTATACATTTTTTAGAAAACTAGTAGCCGTGCACGGCACACACATGTTTATGATTGCGATAGTCAACGTCCATTATTATAGTAACCTGTGATTTCTAAATTATTTTGTTAACGAGATATCATAATTGTTTTCTTAAAATATCATTTGACAATCAATGACTCGGTCGCTCTATAACTCAACTATTAGGTTACCCGACCACTCAGTCGCTCAAGCAATTAGACACTAAGGCACGTGGACACTTAGTACCTCAGCCAATTAGTCACTTGGTCACTCGATCACCCGACAACTCAGTCACTCGGCCACTCAGCCGCTTAATTAGTCATTGGCCACTCAATATCGACCAGCCACTCGTTCACTCAACCACTCAGGCACTCGGTCACTCGATAACTAAAGACTAGTCACTCGGCCACTAAAGCAATGAGCCACTCAGGCACTCGACCACTTAGTCACTTGGCCACCCAGTCACTAGCTCGAACACCCGATCAGCCTGTTCACTTGTTGGTTTTAGCCAGGACTTATCAGCCAGCCAATAATGTTTTTCTCTCACAACAAACCAGCACCAACCGGACTTATCAGCCCGAAAACAACCAACCGAACAAACCGAATAACTCAATCACCCAGTCACTGAACCACTTAGCCAATTAGTCACTTGGCTACTCATCGGTCAGTTGATCACTTAATCATCTTAGCCACCAAGCCACTTAGTCACTTGGCCACTCAGTCCTCGGTCACTTACAACCTATTCGGCCGGGATTATACGGTCGTAAACGATCGTGGATTATAAGCTAGAACATCATTTTTCTCTTACACCAAACCAGCCAGCAATAAATAATCCACAAATGTTTACGACCTACCGAATAGGTTGTTAGTCTCTCGGCTACTAGATCACTTGGCCACTCAGACAGTCGGTAACTTGACCTAACCATTTGGACACCCAAGCAATGAGCCACTCAAACACTCGCCACTCAGTTTGTCACTCAGCTATATGATTTTTTTTTTATTTTTTAGCCTCTTTTTTGAAATTTTTTTACAAATATGCTCTTAGAGGAAAGATTTTAGAATATGAACCCTTAGCTCGGCGCCATCGTTGTTGGCGCCGAGCTAATACGTCTCGGCGCCAGCGTCCCTAGCGCCGAGCTCTTGGGCTCGAAGCCAACGTGGCGGTGACATGGCAGGAAGTTCGGCGCCAATCACCCTGGCGCCAAGCTCGGTGTCGTAGATCTTGACGTCGAGCTCGGCGCCGTAGATCTTGGAATAGGCCATTATTGCGGCCATATGCGAATGTGGTGGTAAATCCAACTATGGCCTAATCCCTTTGGAGCTTGGAATATGCCATTATTGCGGCCATATGATTGACTATGATGAGGTTGGTTATTTTTGTGGTAAACATGAAATCGTATTTTGTTTCTTTTGCTAAGACATATATGATATAATTTTTCGTTTGAACAGAGCACTAGGAAATGCAGTCCTGCAATAATGGCATATTCCAAGCTCCAAAGGGACTAGGCCATAGTTGAATTTAACACCATATTCGCACATGACAGGAGGTGCTTTGTAAATTACCCTTTCTTTCTTATTTTTCTTAACCTTTCGCCGTTCTTCTGGCCATTGGTTCTTAGAACCATACAACCACTCTTTGAAATGACACTTCGCCATTGAAAACACCTAAATAACTTGACATTAGTACATTAACACATATAGCTCAATATTTTAACACATACACTTTGCACTTACTTCATGCTTGTTTGGACACACAAACCCCAACGTATTCTCAGGGTTTATCACAGCTCGATCTCCGCAATGGCACAAAGGAGGTTCCTCAAGTCGTCTAACTGTGGCTAAGTGCTTCTCCTTAGCCGTCATTGGCGGAGGGTTAGGGGGGTGGAACCCACCGCTTAGAGTGCTCACGTGGATGTCTTCCTCTAAATCAATCGTCGAAAAGGAGGTACCTAGGATCAAACTTGTCTGCACCGTCGATCCACTAAAAGAAAAAAGCACCTCTCATGGTCCTACACAACGTGATTCCAATAAAATATTAGTACCATACTTACACAAAATAAAGAAAAAAGATAGTGAAAATAATTTCTTACATTAAAACGACTGCATGTGTAGAAGCACCGCGCCACTGTGTCCGGATGTTTCGATTGAAAAACGTGGGCCGGAAAACCACAGTCACAGTTAGGGATAGGGAGGTTAGAAAGGACGGGGGCATCTTTGCTAGACGCGTCGGGGTATAATTCTCGAGGACGACCCCGTTTTCGCCAAAACTCCTCCCGATACATTTCTTGCATCTAACAAAACGGATGTAATTTAACAAATAAAAATCAAAACATCACAAATAAATGCCAATGAGAACCGTAACTACAACAACCAATTTCGTTATAAGAACCGAAAGCAATTAACATTAAACCCTAAACCTAGGGTTTCCCATTTGATGCACAACGATTAACCCATAACATAACTACATGCGCTGCGGTTACCAAGGTTTGCTAGCTTTTCCACGCCTTGGCATCATCATACGGTTGTATAATATAAATATTGAGGGATAGAATGAAACCCTAAGTAATGACGATTCGTAGGTTGAAAAATCCGACTAATATATACCGAATCGATACGAAAAAAACTAGGAGGAGAGCGAGGATACCTTGCTCTCGAAGATCTACGGATCAAATCAAAGTTTGCAAGGTCCAACATGCCGATTCGTAAGGTAGGGCGAGGTGGGGAGAGAAAAAGCCCGAGAGAGAGGAGAAAGAAGAGGAAGAAGGCTCGGGCAGGAAGGTTGGGGTTGGAGTTAAAACACAAGCTCGGCGCCAGTCACCCTAGCGCCAAGCTCGGTGCCAAGATCTAAGGCGCCGAGCTTCCTGTCATGTCACAGCCATGTTGGCTTCGAACCCAAGAGCTCGGGGCCAGGGACGCTAGCGCCGAGACGTGTTAGCTCGGCGCCAACAACGATGGCGCCGAGCTAAAGGTCCAGATTTTGAAATATTTCCTCCAGGGGTATATTTGTGAAATTTTTTCAAAAAGGGGCTAAAAAATAAAAAATCCGGCTCAGTTACTCTGCCACTGAGTCATCTAGGGCACTTAGGCCCGGTTTGAGGCAGTTTTTTCTGAGGAGCTTTTTTCTTGGCTTGATTTTTCTGTAAGCTAGGTTTTACAAGAAGCTTAGTGTGAAAAAGCTTCTCGTTTCGGGCCAAGTGAGCCTGGTGAGGCCGAGGCTGAGACGGGGCTCGGCAAAGAGGAATAGGAGGGAGGCTTTCCATGATCGACAATGGAGCCTTTCTCACATGCATCGACAAGTCCGACTTTGTTGAAGCCTTTCTCTCACGTAGCAACTCATGGGTGGGCAAAATCCGACTTTGGTTGAAGTCACCAGATCCGATGCCTGGTGGCCAAGCCTATGCCAATCCTTCAACCTCGAGCAAGCAAGGAGGAGGGAGGTGCGAGCGCTCGAGCGAGGGGAGGCAACAGCACTCGAGCGGGGAGGAAGAGGAAGGAGGCGTGAGCGCTGACGTGGAGAAGGACGAGGGAGGTGTGGGCGTTGACGAGTACGAGGACAAGGTGGAGGGTGAGGCAGCTCGGGAATCGGCGAGATTTTCCCTCACGCTCGTGCTCAGCCGATTCCTATTTTACGTGTAAAGGGCATGGGGTGCAGGAAGATGAATAGGCGGAGTTACTAAGGGAGAGGAAAGAATCGTGCACCCCAACGTTTATGGACGTGCGAGTTGATTAAGGGATTGGGAAAAGAATAGGGAAAGATAATGATAGGTTTTAAGAAACAGAAATGATATACAACACACGTGTGTTTTAGCAAAAAAAAACATATGAATTTTAGTCCACCGGATCCTTGCTCGGTTTATCTACGTCCGTCCGATCTATAGTACACCAGCAGTGCACCATGACGCGATACCAGCAGCAGTGCACCATGACGCGATACCAGCAGCAGTGCACCATGACGCGACACCACCAAAGCGACACCGTCCATCGATCGAACGCGACACCAGCACAAGGTGGAGGATGGCGTGACCGCCGTGCAATGGCACCAACTCATCTGTATTTTGTCCTTCCATAGAAAAAAATTGTTTTATGTGATATATGATTTGTGATATGTGGATCCTTAATCTTATGGTATAAAAAAATTCATGTGTTGAAATTGTATAAAACATATAGGTCCCGTTCGGCTTACCCCATATTCGGCTTGTTCAGCTTCTTTTTTCAGTCGGAACAGTGTTTTTCTCTCACAACAATTCAGCCAGAACAGTGTTTTTAAGTCAGTTTCGGTCAAAATTTTGTCAGCCGAACGGACCATAGTTATACCGTAGACAGACTCTTTTAGAAAAAGAGGATTGTTGTTTTTCAATCGGTGGAGATCCTCTAACCTCCGGCTACCACCAATACATACCTGTCAGCAGCTCCTCTATCTTGTGCATCACGCGGATGGCAAACTGACAGATCAAGCCCCTTGTCTCTATCCATGACGTGGACTTTTGCTGCTCTCTGTGGATAATCCGTTGCGTGGAGTATCATCCTAAAAGAAAGACTGAGAGAGAGAGAGAGAGAGAAGGCCGGTCGGCGGTCCCATCTCGCAAACTCCACCGCTCCTGATATTTCTCTTCCCCGTGCGTGCCCCTTCTCTGTTCTCTCCGACTCCGACATGGCGACCGCCTCGCCCTACCCGACGACGCCGTGGCTGCGGCCACCGCCTCTCACGGGACTCTTGGGTCTCCTCCTCCTCCTCCTCCTCCTCCTCCTCGTCTCCCTCTCCCCGTCGATTGCACTAGCGGGCGCGGGCGCGGAGGCGGCGGGGGTTCTGAGGCAAGTGGTTGGTGGGGACGACGACGGCGGGACCTTCTTCGAGCCGTTCAACGTGACCTACGACCACCGCGCGCTCATCCTTGGCGGGAAGCGCAGGATGCTCGTCTCTGCGGGGCTGCACTACCCGCGCGCCACGCCCGAGGTGAGCAGTGAGGTTCTGTGGTGCTTCGCGGGCTCTGGTGCCGCGGCGGTGGGACGGGGTTCGGGAGCTCCGAGGGGGGAGTTGACTCTGGTTGTGGCCGCCGCTTTAATAGCTGGGGTTCTTTGGTCTCAGTTTTTGGTTCGCGCGGGCCGGTTGGGTTCAGCTGTTGCTGCGGTTGGTCGGGCGTTTCCAATTAGCGAATATGTACTGTTACTCACAATGTTGCTGCGGTTGGCTGGGCGTTTCCAATTATGAGGAGCCTAAAAATTTTAAAATTCTGTAATTAGATGAGGGACCTAAAAATTCTGTAATTAGGAGTAGTTCCTAACTACAGAATTTTCAGGCTTCTCATAATAAGACTGTTTGTTCTCCATGGAGTTCGTTGGCAAGTTTGTGGCATCTACATTCACGTTATTTGTAGCTTCCGATGAACTGACACAATTTGGGCTCCAGATGTGGCCGAGTTTGATTGCAAAGGCCAAGGAGGGCGGCGTGGATGTAATTGAGACATATATCTTTTGGAATGGGCACGAGCCGGCCAAAGGCCAGGTACCTCATTGACTCATCTGTTCACTTCAAATGACAGATATAATGTCCTCGAGTGTTAACTGATGCTTCTTCTAATGTGCTTTGCCCCAGTATTACTTTGAAGGAAGATTTGATATTGTCAGGTTTGCTAAGCTGGTTGCTGCTGAAGGTCTATTTCTTTTTCTGCGTATTGGCCCATACGCTTGCGCTGAATGGAATTTCGGGTCTGTCTATATCCTGGCGTCCAACTACTTGAATATACTCACCATTTCGCATCTAACGACACTAGTATTTATTTCTGTGTGAAAATTGGCCTGTTTTGACTCAATAGTGGGTGTGCATGTATACACACTAGAACATTAGGCGCCCTTCGGGTGCCTTGCCACACCATTTGAAACATGTACACTAACGCCTTTTATCTGAGGTGGCATTTTTCTTACATCTTTTTCTCAGATGTTCATGTTCTTCCCTACAAAATGTAACAGTTTCTTATACGCTTACAAGCTTTTATTGTACGATAAAATTTCAATCCTATTAGGAAACATTCGATTACAATTGTTCATCCTGTTTATTTCAATTTTGTTTTGTCACGCAATTCTGTATTCTTATACTTTTCTCCAGATGCAATGTTACGAGCTCTCCTGCGTGTACTAAGAAAATAATCCCTTATATTCTCTTTTCATGTTCACTGTATCTAACCCCACCAAACTGAACATTTCTGTCTCCCTTTAAGCCTACATGGTTTTATCCATGCCTTCAATTTTGAAAGACATGAGTAGAATTGTTTTCTTTGTTTATTTATTTATGTTGTTTTTGTCATACATTTCTGCAGTGGTTTCCCAGTTTGGCTGCGTGACATCCCTGGGATAGAATTCCGCACTGACAATGAACCCTACAAGGTAGAGGAACCACTAAGCATAAGTTTCGTCTGTGAGTATGATGAGCATTCTTCATTCCTTTATTTTGGTCTACTAATCCTCAGAATGTTCTTGCAGGCTGAAATGCAGAATTTTGTGACAAAAATCGTAGATATCATGAAAGAGGAGAAACTTTATTCTTGGCAAGGTGGTCCCATTATACTACAGCAGGTCTGAAAACTATTCTCAAAATTCACTTATTGGTGTTTTTTTTTTCTCGAACACATAGGAGAGTGACCGGAAGGTCCCGGGTTCGAGTCGCAGTCTCCTCGTGATGGATAAGTCTCATGTGTGGTCTTTGTGGGGCTGTACTGCTCACATGGTCCTTGTGGCTGTTTTTCTGCTTTTAGGACATCATCTTAGACTAGAGGACAGCATCTTAGAGGACAGCATCTTAAACTAGAGGACAGCATCTTAGACTAGAGGACAGCATCTTAGCATCTTAGACTACTATCTTAGACTAGCATCTTGGCATATGCTTGGCTGGCTAGCAGCCTATAAATATGTAACCCCAACCCCTCAGGTTGGCATGGCATTTGTGTGAGTTTGTGTGAGAAATAGACAAGAAAATTGCCCCAACTCCTAGTGTCATCCTCTCTCGATGAGAGTAAGAATTCTCCTACTACCAAGAGTGAGAATTCAAATGACTAACAAGTGGTATCAGAGCCGAGTATCCTCAGAGCTCGAGCATCTCCTCGCTCATCCCCTGCTCACCTATAGCGGCCCAAATTCGAGAGTAGCAAGCAGCTCGGTCGCCCCTGCCACTCCTCCTCTCCTCTGTGCAGACGAGGCTCGTCTCGTGCAGGCGTTCTCCCCACGCAGCAGCGGCCCCAGAGCGCCAAGTCCGCAGGGTTGTCTCTGCGCTTCGGTCGCCTCGAGCACGCAGGCGTCGGCAGAGGCCGAACTTGCCGCGGCAGAGGAACGCGAGCGCGAGCGGTAGAACGCTGCAGGCGGCAACAAGGCGCCGAGGCGGCAAGCGAGCCGGGCAAGAGCGTGCGAGGCGGGCGGCAGGCGCGGCGGCGGATCGGCAGCGGCGGCGGCAACGGAGGTCGAGCTTCTGCGGCAAAGATCGGCAGCTCCATTTCGCCGACGACACAGCCGACGCGGACCTCGAGCTGCTAGAGAGGGAGGCGCTATGGCTGGCGGCGCGCGCGCGGCGCGCGCCACGAAAGCGTGGCGGCAGCCTGCAAGCGCGGACGCTACCGGGCGGCGCTCTGGAGGCGCGCGCCGGCGGTGGCGCTCTGGGGCGCCACGCCACGCGCGCGCGCTGGCGGCGGCGCGCGACGCGCGCGGTGGCGCTCTGGAGGCGGCGCGCGACGGCAACGGTGGCGGGCGGGTCGATGGAGAGCGCGGCCTTCACAGTGCGGCGTGACTCTCTCTCCCGGATCGGTACCGACGGTCGGTCGATGGAGAGCGTGGCCTTCACAGTAAAGATGGCTCTCTCTCCCGGATCGGTACCGTGGTTACCACGGGCTCCGTGTCGTTGTCGGGGCGTCGGTCCCGGCGGTGGGTGGCCTACCCTCACCAAGACCAACTACGCCGAGTGGGCTGCGGTGATGAAGGTAAAGCTCCAGTGCGGCACATGTGAGAGGCGGTCCGGGGCGGCGGCGTCGACTACGACCTAGATCGACGGGCGCCGGATGCTCTCATCGCCGCAGATCCTGCCGAGATGCGCTTCTACCTTACCGACCAGCGGATCGCCAAGGAGGCTTGGGACGCCATCGTCTGCGGCACGCGCCGGCAAATGGCGACCGCGCGCAAGTCCACACTACGGGCACTTCGCAGAGGAGGGGAGAACCTCGACCTTCAAGCCGGTGAGGACGTTGATGACTTTGCTCTCCGCCTCAACACTCTATTGCGAGAAGATGGTGCGATTCGGCGACGACACCTACGGCGAGGAGAGAGCTGTCGAAAAGCTCTTCACCGCGTCCCCGAGAAGTACAAGCGGATGGCTCGCTCGATCGAGTCTCTCGCTGGATCTCTCCACGATGTCGATCGAGGAGGCGATAGGTCGCCTCAAGGTCGCCGACAATGATGAGCCACGATCCCTCTCGGGGCCCATCACCACCGGGCGGGAAGCTCCTTCTCACTCGGGCAGCGATGGCTTGCCAAAGGTGGTGACCGGAGGAAGGGGAGCCTTCTTCCGACAGCGGCCGCAAGCGTGGCAAGACGCGCAAAGCGCCGCAGAGAGACGCCAGTGCCGGGCGCGAGGACGCGCCGAGGGTGATGCCCGTGGAGCGCCGCAGGTGGCGCCGCCGCGCAGCAGCCGCAAGACGAGATTTACACCGCCGCACATCGCAGCTGCGGCTAAGCAGCCATTGGGCCAAGGATCGTCGACAACCACGACGCGGCTAGGCCCACGTCGCCTGAAGTGAGGAGGAGGAGCCGGCTCTGTTCATGGCACATGCCAAAGATCGAGCTACCTCCGGCGGCACCGCCGCAGCGGCTCTCTCCACCACCTGACGAGCCAAAAGCACACGCCCTCCTCGGCAACGGCTCCGCAGCGACAAGATCGACGGGTGGTGCCTCGACACCGGCGCCACCCATCACATGACCGGTCGACGGAGTTCTTCACCGAGCTTGACTCTAGCGTCCCGAGGCTCCGCTCAAGTTTGGGGATGCCTCCGGTGTGGAGATCAAGGGCGTCGGCTCCGTCATCTTCACCACCGTGTCTGGTGAGCACAGGCTGCTCACCGGAGTCTACTACATCCCCGCGTTGAGGAACTCCATCATCAGCTTGGGACAGCTGGATGAGAACGGTTCGCGCGTGGTGGTTGAGGACGGAGTCATGAGGATTTGGGATCGTCGTCGTCGCCTTCTTGCCAAGGTATCCAGAAGCGCAAATCGACTCTACGTCCTTAACGTGCAGGTGGCACAACCCCTCTGTCTCGCTGCTCGTCGGGACGACGAGGCGTGACAGTGGCACGAGCGTTTCGGGCACCTTCACTTTGAGGCTCTGAAGCGGCTCAGTGCCACGGAGATGGTGCGAGGCATGCCGTGCCTCGACCATGTGGAGCAGCTCTGCGACGTCTGCGTGTTGACGAAGCAGAGGCGACTCCCCTTTCCACAGCGGGCTAGCTTTCGAGCCAAGGAGAGGCTCGAGCTTGTGCACGGGGACTTGTGTGGCCCGGTGACACCGGCCACACCGGGAGGACGACGCTACTTCCTGCTGCTCGTCGATGACCTCTCCCGCTACATGTGGGTGATGGTCCTCGGCAGCAAGGGAGAGGCTGCGGACGCCATCGGTATGCCAGCAGCTGCTGCGAGGCGGAGTCGCGGCCGCAAGCTGCAGCGTCTTTGCGCGCCGCCGACAACGGCGGCGAATTCACGGCGGCTGAATTCACGTCGTACTGCGCTGACGAGGGCATTCAGAGCCACTACTCCGCGCCGTACAGCCCGCAGCAGAACGGCGTCGTCGAGCGGCGCAACCAGACGGTTGTGGGGATGGCTCGGGCCCTCCTCAAGTAGAGGGGGATGCCGGCTGTCTTCTGGGGAGAGGCGGTGGTGACGGCCGTCTACATCCTCAACCGCTCGCCTACCAAGGCGCTCGACGGCAGGACGTCGTACGAGGCTTGGCATGGGCGCAAGCCGGCGGTCTTCCACCTGCGGGTCTTCAGCTGCCTCGCGTTCGCCAAGGAGCTTGGCCACATCAGCAAGCTCGACGACAGGAGCACTCCGGGAGTGTTCATCGGCTACGCGGAGGGCTCGAAGGCCTACCGCATCCTCGACCCGAAGACACAGCATGTGCGCACGGCGCGCGACGTTGTGTTCGACGAAGGGCGAGGATGGGCGTGGGACAAGGCGGTGGACGATGGCTCGGCTCCGACGTACGACGACTTCACTGTCGAGTACGTCCACTTCGAGGGAGCTGGGGGAGTAGGCAGCTCTTCTTCGGCGAGCGCGTCTACCCCAGTCCCCGAGCCTCCACCGACCCGGCGCTGCTACTCATTCGGCAAAGACCACGCTCTCCGGCAGACCTCGGCTGCGATGAGTTCTTCGCCGGCTCCACCATAGCCGGCAACGCCATGTACTCCAGCATCGACAGGCACCTCTCCGGGCACGTCTACTCCAGCTCGTGTCGAGCACAGCCCGGTTGAGCTCGCTACTCCGCTCTCTCACGACGAGGAGCGCATCGACGCGTACCACGACGGCGAGCCATTGCGGTACCGTACGATGGAGAACCTTCTCGGTGACCAGCCGGTGCGGGACCGGTGCCTCACGACACAGGGCGCGCTTGCACCTTGCGTGTGGCGACGGCGAGCCTCGGTCGTATCACGAGGCGAGAGACACGCGGCATGGCGCGCGCGATGCGCTTGGAGATGGATGCGGTTGAGAAGAACCGCACACTGGAGCTTGGCCGACCTTCCTCGTGGTCACCGCGCGATCACCCTTAAGTGGGTGTACAAAATTTGAAGAGGGATGAAGCAGTGCCATCGTCAAGCACAAGGCTCGCTTGGTGGCACGAGGTTTCGTGCAGCGGGAGGGGTCGACTTCGACGACGCCTTTGCTCCCCGTACGGATGGAGTCCGTCGACTCCTCCTCCTTCGCTTAGCTGCCCGGAGGGTGGGCGTGTTCATCACATGGACGTCAAGTCGGCGTTCCTTAGCGGCGACTTGAAGGAGGAGGTCTCGTGCACCACCGCGGGATTTGCGATCCCGGCAAGGAGGGCAGGTGCTCCGCTGCGCAAAAGGCCCTCTATGGCTTGCGGCGAGACGCAGGGCGTGGAATGCCAAGTTGGATTCCACGCTAAAGGGATGGGCTTGAGCAAAGCCCGCACGAGGCGACCATCTACCGACGGGCGGTGGAGGAACCGCTCTGCTGGTGGGTGTCTCGTCGACGACTTGGTGATCACCGACACCAAGGATGCGGAGGTGGCGGCATTCAAGGAAGAGATGAAGGCCACCTTCCGGATGAGTGACCAGGGGCCTCTCTCCTACTACACGGGCATCGAGGTGCACCGAATGACTCGGGATCACACTTGACGGACCGCCCTCGCCAAGCGCTGTCGTTGAGCTAGCTGGGCTCACCGCACCGCAATCCAGCTCTCACCCGATGGAGGAGAGGTGAAGTCGAGCCGCGACAACCTGACGGAGGAGGTGGGCGCTCTGCAAAGATACGGCGTCTTGTGGGGAGCCTTCGCTACCTCGCCCACACGGCGGCGGACTTGGCATTCTCCGTCGGCTCGTTAGTCGGTTCATGCAAATGACCGACGACGGAGCACCAAAGAAGGCTGTGAAGAGGATCATCCGCTATGTTGCGGGGACTCTCGACCACGGCCTCTACTACCCCGAGGGGCCCAGGGCGGCACACTTCGTCGGGCATGCATGACAATGACCACGCCCGGCGACATCGACACCAAAGAAGAGCACACGAAGCGGGATCCTCTTCTTCCTCGGCAAGTGCCTCGTTAGCTGGCAGTCGGTCAAGCAGCAGGTGGTGGCCCTGTCCAGATGCGAGGCCGAGTACATAGCGGCCTCCACCGCTTCGACTTAGGCGCTCTGGCTCGCTCGACTGCTTGGTGATCTCCTCGGCAGAGACACTAGAGCGGTGGAGCTCAGGGTGGACAGCAAGTCCGCTCTGGCCCTGGCAAAGAACCCCGTGTTCCACGAACGCAGCAAGCACATCCGGGTGAGGTACCACTTCATCCGAGGCTGTTTGGAGGAAGGGAGCATCAAGGCGAGCTACATCAACACCAAGGACCAGCTTGCGGACCTGCTCACCAAGCCCCTTAGGAGGATCAAGTTCCTTGAGCTCTGCTCCAGGACCGGGATGGTTCAACTCTCCCACAAGACGACGCACAAGACTTAGGGGGAGAATGATGGATAAGTCTCATGTGTGGTCTTTGTGGGGCTGTACTGCTCACATGGTCCTTGTGGCTGTTTTTCTGCTTTTAGGACATCATCTTAGACTAGAGGACAGCAGGACATCATCTTAGAGGACAGCATCTTAGACTAGAGGACAGCATCTTAGCTAGGACAGCATATTAGCATCTTAGACTAGTATCTTAGACTAGCATCTTGGCATATGCTTGGCTGGCTAGCAGCCTATAAATATGTAACCCCAACCCCTCAGGTTGGCATGGCATTTGTGTGAGTTTGTGTGAGAAATAGACAAGAAAATTGCCCCAACTCCTAGTGTCATCCTCTCTCGATGAGAGTAAGAATTCTCCTACTAACAAGAGTGAGAATTCAGCGACTAACACCTCGCATTGCACAGGCGATGATAAGGCTTGCCACTGACACCCTTCCCAGACCCTGCACAGAGCGGGAGCTCTCTGCACTAGGTACGCCCTTTTTTTTTACATAGGAGAGTGGGTTACCTTTGTATTAAAGAGAGAAGAATAGACGGACCCTTAAATAAACCACTCTATCTTGTCAGGGAGACCAGATAGGTTCAGGTTTTGAGAAATACAGAAACCACCTGAAAAGAGGGGGAAAAAATCCCGACCCAACCAAGGCTGGTTAAACTAACCCCTCAACAAGACCTAGCCCAAGTTGTTGAAGCTTACGTAATCTACACAATGTTACATTACATTCTTTTCATTTTTATAATAACTCTTACAAAGTATTACCAGTTACTTAAAATGTGCAAGAGAAGCTAACATCTTCTCCATGAAATGGCATCTTGTGAGTATTTGCCTTATAACTATGGCAGTTCATTCTTGCTTGTGCCTTGACTTTCTAAGAAAAAAGAATTATCTGATAATATTATTAATGACGATGATGATATTTAGAAAACGATAGTAATGGTTTGTTTGGAAAGCCGCTTTACCTCTCAGAATTGGAACTGGCCCTCGAGTTCACCAAGATGCTGCAGACCTGGCTCGTTACTGCATTTTGAATATTAGTCTCATTCAAAAAGAAATGATAGCTTAAGCTATCATCCATTAGTCAGTACACAGAGAGATTTGAAAAATATCGATGGCAGGTGGATATTATGTTATTTGTGGCTTAAATATTTTTTAGTTGGTGCCGTTTGGTGGCAACATTGCTTAGTATCTTTGATGTCTCATTTAATACATCGATATTGTTAAACCCAGCAATGGTTATTCCTTATTTAATAAAAAAAGTTAGATGACGTTCTATATATGGATGGTGCTCATGATAGAGTTAAATGTTGAACCATAATGTGGTAAAGGATACAATGCTTAAGTATGTTATGTAGCCAAGAGCTAGATGTCGGCTGTTTTACCTGCTGAAGTGGCAGGACTTATGGTGTTTCCTCTATGCTCTAGTTAATGCAGCACAAACACCTGAAGGTTGGTGGATGTAAGAGGCTCATATTAATAAAAACTCGACCAAAACTAGGATGAACTTAAAAGGGCGTACCCAATGCAGAGAGCTCCCGCTCTGTGCGGGGTCTGGGGAAGGGGGTCAGTGGCAAGCCTTACCCTCGCCTGTGCAATGCGAGGAGACTGCGACTCGAACCCGGGACCTTCCAGTCACAGGCGGTAAGACTCTACCGCTTGCACCAGGCAACTTAGTTCGAGAAAATCTGGGAGGAACTAGGCATCTTTTAGTAAGAAGAAATAGGCACCAAAATTTGAGTTGGAAAGGACTTGGACATGAGTGATCAACCAAATGAGCAGGGCTCAGTTTCCTAAGAGGCCTATATTCATGCTTAATGTGTCAGTTGAATTATATATACACTAAAAATGTGTATAATCTTTTTATCTGGAAAATGTTTGACAGATTGAAAATGAATACGGTAACATTCAAGGCAAGTATGGTCAAGCAGGGAAGAGATACATGCAATGGGCAGCTCAGATGGCACTTGCACTTGATACTGGTGTTCCTTGGGTAATGTGTAGGCAAACAGATGCTCCAGAACAAATTGTAGGTTGCCTCAAACTCTATTGAGATTGACTTTGCATTACATTAGAGATTATGTTAAATGTGCTAATTATGAAGTAATAGATTACTGTTTCGTCCTTTCTGGCAGCTCGATACGTGCAATGCCTTTTACTGCGATGGGTTCAAACCAAATTCCTACAACAAGCCAACAATATGGACTGAGGATTGGGATGGATGGTATGTGGTTCCTTGATTCATTTAGCTCTTGCTGGAGACTTTGCAGCAATGGATTCAATTATCTGGAAAATTTTAAGTGAGGATAGTATCTTCATTTTATATTTTACTCTTTATTACTGTTGTACTGACTTATGTGGGGCCTAATTAGTTTAATTTGCCTTAGATGTATATAATTTTAATTAGTTGTCTTTCCTTACAACTGGGTAAGGTTACTCATTTCACCCAGATGTTTAATACCCAACGATCATGTGCATGTGCTTGACTTTTAGAAATGGTATGGGAAACTAATGTAGATTCAAATTTGTTCTCTGTTGTGATGCTATGTGCAAAAATGAACTGCTGTTTCCCCAAAAAGAATGAGTGCAAATGAACTTTTCTAATATATGTGTTCAAGCCTTATAAAGGTGTTGGTTATAGTTGTGAGGAACAGGGGGCACAAAGCTAGTGACCCTAAAGGCCAGGCATTTTGATGGCATCCTGGCTGATTATGGTGCCCAAATGAAAGAGCGGAGTTAAGATCCTTCTTATTTCTTACTTGCTTAACTCAGTGAATGTTGAGCTTTATATAACTATACTGCAGCCTGACCACAAATACAAGAACATACATAGTACATCATTATAGCAGTTGAGTGAAATCCATTAGCGGCCCCTAGGCATACCCCAGATTCTTATCTAGGTCCATGAACTCTTGAATTGCAAATTCAGGCCCTTAAACTTACTAAATGTACCATTTCTGGTCCGTACCCTTCAAAACACCCTTGGATGCATATGTGGTGTGCTACCTGGGGCACACACATATGTGTTGAAATATTAAAGTGAATTGTCCACCTTCCCATCAGATTAAGCTTTTGGGTTGAACTGGTTAGTGCATGCAATTTAATATGGTATTAGGATCAGAGGTCTTGAGTTCAAATCCTAGCTAGTGCAATAAAATAAAATAAAATGATTGTTGCTCACTCCTATTAGGCTATTACACATCCGAGGCCTGAGGGAGCCTCCATGTGAGGGGTAGTGTTGAAATATAAAGTAAATTTGCTCGCCTTCCCCATCAGTTTAAGCTTTTTTTGGGTTGAGTTAGTCAGTGCATGCAACTCAATATAGTATCTGGGCCAGAGGTCTCAAATTTGAATCCTTGCTAGCGCAATTAAATAAAATGATTGTTACTTGCTCCTATTCCATGTCTGAGGCCTGACCGCTTGGAAGAGCCTCTAAGTGAGGGGGAGTTTAGAAATATAAGTGAATTGCCCGCCTTCCCTATCAACTTAAGCTTTTGGGTTGAACTGGTCGTTGCATGCAACTCAATAGTATGTTTAAGAGCTAATGATGGTAAGTTTAAGGGCTGATTCTGCAATTGAGAGTTCATGACCCTAGATGAGAATACGAAACAAGTCTAGGGGACCACCAATTGATTTCACTCCTTTTTTTTGGAAAAAAATTTTGGGTGCAGATGGTCCACACCTAGCCCCATGCGGACATCCAACCAAATCACGACGCATGGATTTCTTAATCGACCGGCTCGGCCTCCCAGTGCTCTCACGATAGGAGTCCTCGGCTCGCACAAACAGGCTCGTATGGAATAACTGAACGGGCTCGGTAACTCGCAGCGGCTTTGATTGTAGATGGGAAAAACGCTGCAATTGCAGCGACGAGAGACGGCCGCCGCCATCACGCGGTAACCAGGTGGCACAGAGGTCGCCAGCGGTGGTGGCACATCTGGATTCGAGGCAAAGGAGATTGCTGGCGGTGGTGACACAGGCAGAGGAAAAACTGGACATGAGAGAGGAAGCCGGTGGCGGACGATCAAATCAGGCAGCGGCTCCGGTTGCAGATGTGTTGTGTGCGCTTGGGGCGGATTAGCCGGCCAAGCCAATTAGCCAGGTTGGAGCGTATGGCCTCAATCGCGAGCCAGCCAAGCCAATTAGCCCATAAGTAGCAGAGTCGATTAAGAAGTCCATGCGTCATGATTTGGTTGGACGTCCGCACAGTACCAGGTGAGGACCATCCACACCCAATTTTTTCCTTTTTTTTGGTTGAGTAGAGTACTGTATCAAAGCGTAGATCACATGCTTTGAATCGATCCTGCTCTTAGAGATCAATGAATATATATGACAAAAGAAATCCAGAACTTATGCTACACAAAGCAAAACCCATCCTTATCCATGGGCAAAGAAATTATAAAATAAGAGCTGGTGCATTGCCATCCTAGAAACAGAACTAAGGACAGAAGTGCTGCAAAGGGGCATGGTAGAGTCTATGTTGCCCAGATACAGATACGGGTATTGGGCGCGCTATTTTCAAAAAAGAGTGACACGGGGATATGCCTAGGATTTTTTTTAATGATAATAATTACACATGATTTAATATGAAATAATATAGTACCAGACTGTTGCATGGATACGTGAGGTTGGCCACGTATCCCATATCGGCTATGTATCCGCAAAGTATTGGCAAAAAATTAAATATAACAAAATTCCGATATGTGGACTGATATGTATCCAAGCTGTTTAGCGATACGGCCTAGCCCACACACCTCATGACTTGTGACCTCCATTACCATAGGTGGATAGGTCCCCACCTGGATGCACATCATCACAGCCGGCTGCTGGCCTAGACGCGCCGTTGCACGCCTGTATGCGTGAGCGTCGCCTAGGCGCCAATGCTTCCTGCATCCCCGCACGAGGCACAACACATCCTGTCCGGACGCACGGCAACATGAGCACCACCGCCTGACGGGCCAGTGCCTGCCTGCACTCGCAAGCACCGACGATGCAGCCCACATGAGGCCTCCCACCTGGCTGCCCACCTGCCCCAGAGGCCACGACGACCTCCAGCAAGTCCTGGTGGTGATTCAGCAGCAACCTTTGGTGATTTCCCCTTCTTGATTTCGTTCTTCCTCTCCTGATCTAGTCACTAGTTCTTCCTCAATGGTGACCTCCAGTTTGTTTCTTGCCTTTTGTCTTCCCGTATGGAAACTGGAAAGGGGTGAGAACTGGGGGAACGAGCGGTGGAGAGCTGACTCTGACTTTAGGGTGTCAGTAGGATAAGTGGTGGACATCAGAGAGCTGCGTCAGGGATAGCTCGATGCCCAACGTTGTTGGCAACCGAGCTCCCTGCAGAGGTGAGCAATTAGCTCACTCACACCCACCCACACAACTCACGGCTAGAGGTAGAAGAAGAGTTGAGAACAGAGTACTAAACAAGCACAGCACAAGCACATGTGCAGGAAACTGAACTGCTTTTCTTCGTTGCATTGCGTTGAGTATATATATACAATACTAGTACCAACTATATGGTACATTAGTACATGGCTGATTTCAGCCTCCAACTACTACTGCATGGCTGAGGTTGTAAGACATAATCTGCTGCTGACCTCTCACTCTTTGTTTGCTGCACAGTAGATTTGGCAATAGGTCATTCTCTGCTGTCCTAGTTGCTGTAGCAGTAGGGCAATAGACCACCACTGGTACATTAGTTGGTAGCTAATACATCAGTCATGTCTTGGCAGTGGGCTGAGGTAGGAATTGTACTACTAGTACTAGAAGTATTTGGGGCTGTACTCAGCCATGCTCATGTGTACCTTATAGTTGGTACATGAGTTGTATATACTCTACCTCTATGCAATGAAAACAGGCAGTTCAGTTGCCACAAACCAAAAGAGCAGAGCTCTGGCCAACGCTGGTGCTTGTGCTGTGTGTGTGCTTGTGCTCACCCCTTCTTCTACCTCTAGCCATAGTGAATGAGTGTGTGTGCTGGTAAGCTTACTGCTTACCTGTGCAGGGCAGTGAGGGACCAACAAGTGGCATCGGAGCCGTACAGGTTCGCCTCCATCTGGCACCTGGCTCGGAGACGGGCGACAGCAGCGGAGCAGCGGGAGGCGACTGTGCTGCTGGGGCTGCTCAGCCACGACAGGAGGTCGTCGTGCGCACGGTGCGGGAGGTCAGCGGCACTACTTGGCCACAGCTGACTCGTACCAACTATGGCGAGTGGGCGGTGACCATGAAGGTCATGCTCAGAGCCAGACGGCTCTAGAATGCCATCGACAAGGGCACCGACGTAGAAGAAGATGACATGTCAGCGCTGGAGGCCATTCTCGCTGCTGTGCCTGCGGAGTACCAGGAGCCGTTGGGGGCGAAGAAGTCTGCTAAAGAGGCGTGGGAGGCCATTGCAGCGATGCACGTCGGCTCTGATCGCGCAAAGAAGGCGACGGCCCAGCTGCTGAAGCAAGAGTACGCCAACCTCAAGTTCAAGGATGGTGAGTCGGTGGAGGACTTCTCCCTCCGCCTGCAGTCGTTCATCAGCAAGCTGGAGAGCAAAGGTGTCACCATCAACGAAGAAGAGGCGGTCTCCAAGTACCTCCACTTTGTGCCGGTGAAGTACATCTAGATCGCTCTCTCCATAGAGACGATGCTGGACCTGTCCATCCTCACCATTGAGGATGTGACAGGCCGTCTGCGGGCGGTGGACGAGCACATGGAGCAGGCCACAACAACGACGAACAGCGGCAAGCTGCTGCTGACAGAGGAGTGGGTTGCCCGGATGAAGGAGAAGAAGTCCAAGGAAGCCTCCTCCAGCCGCGGTGGCGTTGGCAAGCGCCGCAGCAAGGCTTCTTCGGAGATGAAGAAGAAGAAGGTCGACCCCAACGCCTGCCGGGGCTGCGGGAAGACAGACCATTGGGCAAAGGGATGCCAAAATCGCAAGCAGGAGAAGAAGGCTGAGGCTCATTTGGCGCAGGCTGATGATGATGATGAGGCCACTCTCCTGATGGCGACGTTCTGTGCACTGCACGACGTTGAGGCCAAGGAGAAGGGAGAGGTGATGGCGGTGGAGGAGCACGGGAAGGCTCTGAAGGCTGTCAACCTAGACGAACCGCGCGCCCAGGTCCACCTCGGACGTGTGGGCGGCGAGCAGGAGCAGCGATGGTACATGGACTCCGGCACCAGCAACCACATGACGGGCTCCAAGTCAGCCTTCTCCGAGCTCGACGGCAATGTGACTGGCACGGTGAAGTTCGGTGACGGCTCAAGGGTGGCGATCTGAGGGCGCGGCACCATCATCTTCAGGTGCCAGAACGGCGAGCACCGCGCGCTGACGGATGTATATTACATCCCGCAGCTGCGTTCAAGCATCATCAGCATTGGCCAGCTGGATGAGCGCGGCAGCGAGGTGCTGATCAAGGACGACATCCTCAGTATTAGGGACCGGGAGCAGCGGCTTCTTGCCAAGGTGAAGAGGTCCCGGAACTGGCTGTACCTGCTCAACTTGAAGGAGAAGCCCATCTGCTTGGCTGCGCAGCGCACGGAGGAGCCGTGGCTGTGGCACGCCCGCTATGGCCATCTCAGCTTCGACGCCCTCGGCAAGCTGGAAAGGATGGTCTGGGGGCTGCCTCACATCGAGCACGTAGGCGAGCTGTGTGACAGATGCCTGTCCGGGAAGCAAAGAAGGTTGCCGTTCCCGAAGACGGCGAAGTACCGCGCGGCAGAGTGACCTCTGCGGGTCGATCACGCCGGCGACGCACGGCGGGCGCAAGTACTTCATCTTGCTGGTACATGACTGCAGCCTGTTCATGTGGTTGCAGCTTCTGACCAGCAAGACCGAGGCAGCGGAAGCGGTCAAGAAGTTCAAGGCGCGCGCGGAGGCGGAGAGCGGCAAGAAGCTGCGCGTGCTGCGGACTGATCGCGGCGGCGAATTCACCTCTGTAGAGTTTGCAGCGCACTGCGCAGAACAAGGTGTGATGTGCCACCACACCGCACCGTACACGCCACGGCAGAATGGCGTGTTTGAGAGGCGCAACCAGATAGTGGTCGGCATGACGAGGTCGATGATGAAGGCTAAGAAGATGCCGGCGGAGTTCTGGGGAGAGGTGGTGACCATGGCGGTGTTCATCCTCAACCGCGCGCCCACCAAGGCCCTGAAGGGCAAGACGTCGTTCGAGGCTTGGCATGGACGCAAGCCGAATGTGTCCTTCCTCAGGACATTTGGCTGCGTTGGCCATGTCAAGAACACAAAGCCCCACCTTGGCAAGCTGGTGGACAGAAGCACGCCCATGGTGCTATTGGGCTATGAGGACGGCAACAAGGCCTATCGGCTCTATGATCCCAAGGGAGGCAGGGTGGTGGTCTCTAGGGATGTAGTGTTCGACGAGATGGCTGCTTGGGATTGGGAGGATCAAGGCGTCGGGGAAGCTGCTGGTGTCAGCAGCACATTTGTTGTCGAGCACTTGGTGATCCAAGGAGGAGGAGATGATGGCGCTGGAGAGCAGGCTGCTGCTGGAGAGCAGTCTCCACCAGCAGCGGCGCATTCACCTCCACCACAGTCCCCTGCGACGGCAGCACAAGGGACACCCCCACTGGAGTTCGCATCACCACCCACCAACATCGACGAGTTTGTGGATGCTTTCCATGACGGTGAGGAGGTTCGGTTCAGGCGGGTGGACAACCTTGTCGGCGAAGGGGGAGCTCCTGGGCTGGCTAGCTGGCTTCTGGATGACCCATCACTACTCCTTGTCAGCGTAGAGGAGCCGTCGACGTTCACAGTGGCTGAACGCGACGCCAATTGGCGCCGGGCGATGTTGGAGGAGATGAGGGCGATCGAGGACAATGGGACATGGGAGCTGGTGGATCCACCGGTGGGCTGCAGGCCAATCGGGTTGAAGTGGGTCTACAAGGTGAAGCGGGACGAGCGTGGCGCCATTGTCAAGTACAAGGCTCGGCTCGTTGCCCGTGGCTTCGTGCAGCGTGAGGGCATTGACTTCGAGGAAGTCTTTGCTCCGGTGGCGCGAATGGAGTACGTTCGCTTGCTGTTGGCCATGGCATCAGCGAAGGATTGGCGTGTCCACCACCTCGACGTCAAGTCTGCGTTCCTCAACGGTGAGCTCGCAGAGACGGTCTTCGTCAAGCAAGCTCCGGGCTTCGCCGTCAAGGGCGCTGAGCACAAGGTGCTCAAGCTGCGCAAGGCGCTCTACGGGCTGCGGCAGGCCCCTCGGGCGTGGAACGCCAAGCTTGACGCCACCTTGGGCGAGCTTGGGTTCACTCGCTGTGCCACAGAGCACGCGCTTCAAGCGCGAGATGGCTGCTCGTTTCAAAATGAGCGATCTCGGCGCGCTCTTCTACTACCTTGGCATTGAGGTGAGGCAGGGGAAGGAGCACATCTCCCTGGGCCAGCGCGCCTATGCGGAGAAGCTGTTGGAGCGCAGCGGCATGGCGTAGTGCAAGCCATGCGCAACTCCAATGGAGGAGCGGCTCAAGCTGTCCAAGCACAGCATGACGGCGAAGGTGGACGCGACGCGCTACCGGAGCATCGTCGGCGGGCTGCGCTACCTCACGCATACTCGACCGGACATCGCGTTCGTGATCGGGTATGTTAGTCGGTTCATGGAGGAACCGCGTGAGGATCACTGGACGGTGGTGAAAAGGTTGCTGCGCTACGTCGAGGGGACGCTCGATCAAGCGATCATCTTCCCCAAGAATGACGGCAAGGGTGGGCTGCGGCTCACGGTCTTCAGTGAGGCACCCCCCCAAGGCCAAGGAAGGTGAGCCGGAGCTCACTATTTTCAGCGACGCAGACATGGCGGGCGACATCGACGGGCGACGGAGCACCTCTGGTGTGCTTGTCTTCCTTGGAGCAGCCCCCATCGCCTGGCAATCGCTGAAGCAGAAGATTGTGGCACTGTCGACGTGTGAGGCGGAGTACGTTGCAGCGGCCACGGCGGCGTGCCAGGGTGTCTGGTTGCGCTGGCTGCTGGGCGAGCTAACCGGCGTGGAAGCTCACCCGCCAGCTCTGATGGTGGACTATCAACCCGTCATCGCCCTCGCCAAGAATCCTATCCTCCACGACCGGAGCAAGCACAACGATATCAGGTTCCACTTCCTCTGGGACTGCGTCGATGGAGGGCAGATCGTCATCGAGTTTGTCGAAACCGGCAGACAGCTCGCTGACATCCTCACTAAGTCACTCGGGCGCCTGCGGTTCATGGAGTTGAGGAAGATGATTGTCATGAATGAGGTCAAGGCTTTGGGTTAGCAGCAGGATTAGGAGAAGAATTGTAAGACATAATCTGCTGCTGACTTCTCACTCTTTGTTTGCCGCACAACAGATTTGGCAATAGGTCATTTTCTGCTGTCCTAATTGCTGTAGCAGTAGGGCAATAGGCCACCACTGGTACATTAGTTGGTAGCTAATACATCAGCCATGTCTTGGTAGTGGGCTGAGGTAGGAATTGTACTGCTAGTACTAGGAGTATTTGGGGTTGTACTCAGCCATGCTCATGTGTACCTTATAGTTGGTACATGAGTTGTATATACTCTACCTCTATGCAATGAAAACAGGCAGTTCAGTTGCCACAAACCAAAAGGGCAGAGCTCTGGCCAACGCTGGTGGTTGTGCTGTTTGTGTGCGCGCCTATGCTCACCCCTTCTTCTACCTCTAGCCATAGTGAGTGAGTGTGTGTGCTGGTAAGCTTACTGCTTACCTGTGCAGGGCAGTGAGGGACCAACAGAGGTAGGCCACTTCATAGATTGGCCCATTGCCATACTTCTACAGTGGTCTAGAAGGACAGCAAGTGCTGACCAATGCCAACAACCTGCTGCAGCAAAATCAACAAGGAGAGCAGCAGATTATCTTACAAACTTTTGTTATACTACTAGCGAGTACCGACTAGAAGCTGTGAAGTAATTGGAGTAGTCTCCAGAGAGCATCCATACATACTGACCGGCTGCCTCTAATTTTAATTACCTTATTATTTATTTTTGTAAAAAAATAATAAAACGTATCCACATATCGTTTTTGTTTTTGTTTTCAAAAAATGGTGTATCCGTATCCGTCCGATACCGATACACGTATCTGTATCCGTGCTGCATAGGTACCAGACTTACTGGTAAATAAGGATGTTCAGCAACTTAATAAACCACAACCAAACCACAACCATAGCAGCTTAATTGGAGCATGTTCATCACCTGGGGCCATCTACTGTACTACAAAAAACAAAAAAGAACAAAACTAAATATCAAATCAGAGCACACAAGGGAGTACTACTGTAGTGGACGCACGGTGCAAGTGAGAGGCCGAGAGCTCACGGCAGCAGCCTAGCAGGGAGGAGGAGAGGAGTTTACTTCGTGATGGAGCCACTATCCTCTGGTTGAATCTTGTTGGGGTCCTAGGGATGGAGCCGCCGGCTGATTCGGTGCTGAGGGATGCACAAAGCAGGGGTGCGGAGCCAGGAAGTGGCGCCACTCACCGGTGAGCCATTTTGTGTCTCTGGCGGATCCTCCCTGGGTCTGCAGCTTGCTGCCCCGCTGCAGGCCACTGGTCGCCCCAGGAGGCGGAAGTCGGGCGTCAGGGGAAGTGAGTGCGGGAGTGCTGGCTGCTGTGCGGTTAGGTCATGAGTCATGACATACTCCGCGGGTGTGTGTGTCCTCGGTTAGGCCTCTAAGGCCATTTTTCTTGGGTTGTATCCAGTTTGGCCTGTACGTGTCTGGTACGCATAAATACGTATCCAAAATCATGAGTACGGCCTGGATATGTATCCAGGAGTATCCGGAGCGTATCTGTATCCGATACGGACAGACCCCCCCTTGGAGTATCCGCGCATGAGAGAGTAGAGTGGCAAAGGGGGACACAACACAACTGTGAAGTTGCAGCACCAAGGAGTGAGTGTAGTCATGGATTTAGTGACCTAGGTGAAATGGGCTTGCTCCTGGACGTGGTTGGGTTGCAAACAATCATTCTTTGAAAACAGGGTTGTGTTTTCTGAAGCTGATCTGAACAAATGCCTTCTTTCACCATCATATTTAGTATAGCTATTACCTGTAAACTATGACCTTACAGCATATCACATGTATAGGTATGCCGACTGGGGTGAAGCATTGCCACATAGGCCTGCTCAAGACAGTGCTTTTGCTGTTGCTCGTTTTTATCAACGTGGTGGAAGCTTGCAAAATTATTACATGGTAAGAGCTAAGATATCTCAAGACTTAAATTTAGAGAGACCTCCCTAACTTGTCAATCCAGTTACAAATATCTTAATTCTTTTTCCAGTATTCAGACTTGAGACAAAAGATTATTCAGTCATTAACTCAATTAGGGCTCGTAGAAAAGCTTTATATGCAGCATGCACTGGTTGGGAAGAAAACATGCTGAACCAATTCAGTCACAGACGACATGTAAACTGAGGATCAAAACTAACTGTTACTCACTGTTCCTCTATTTTCTGCATAGAATGGCTAGCTATATTCAGCTACTACCATCGCAGTAAAAGGGAAAAAAAATCCATGCTGATTCAATAAAGCCACAGATGACCAACTGAAGTTCAGAACTAACTGTTACTTGCAGATGTATCCAGCCACTTAGCATTGATCAGAATGGTCATACTATGTAATCTTCCTGCTTTTAGTATCTATATTTAAGTTAATCTCTTTATTTTATTTAAAATTTTGATGTTATTTATTCTGAGGCTTGATTTTGATGTTTTTTTTAATGTTTAGATCTGAGTGTACTTCATCTCTTTGCAGTATTTTGGTGGAACAAATTTTGAGCGGACAGCTGGTGGTCCACTTCAGATAACTAGCTATGATTATGATGCACCAATTGATGAATATGGTATGTAGAAATCTGGAAAATCTCTGTGGTTTGGATGTATCAGTTACTTCACTGTTCATCAGATATATAAGAGATGCCTGAGTAGAATCCATAACTTGCTATGTTCAGGTATCTTAAGGCAACCTAAGTGGGGGCATTTGAAAGACCTACATGCAGCTATTAAACTTTGTGAACCAGCTCTTACTGCAGTAGATGGCTCACCTCGTTATGTAAAATTAGGGCCCATGCAAGAGGTTCGTACTGATTTATAATGCAAACAATCTACAGTTTTTGTCCATCTACTTCAGTTTTGCATATACAATAATGGTTTTCATTTTGGTAAAAAATAATGGTTTTCATTTCTTTTCATGTTTTTTTTATTTTTTAACTAGGTATTGGCCTGTTCATTGATATATACACATAAAATTTGAACTAATAATGGTAATGCAGAACACCTGATAAAGAGATCACATTGAATACAATTTCAACAGATAATATAGGGCAAAGAGGATGGAGATAAGGGGTATCCAACATGGCAAATGTCTTAAAATTGAACTTCTGGTAAAATTTCCAACAACACCTAGATAAGGGAATGCTGCAACAATTCGACCTGTAATTATTGAGGCCCATCAGCAGCCCACCATTGTGCTATGTGCTTTTGGCCTGCTTAAAGGCCCAGTGCGGCCGATCATACGCCCAATTCAGGCCACTTTGCGGCCCAGTCTGCCAACCCAAATGCCTGGCTGTTTTCAGCTGTTGATCTCGGATGGATGGTCAGTATTCAACCGGTCCTAATGGTGCTCATATAAAAACCAGTTGATCTTGGCAATCTTATTGTTGGGTTAGGACCTGACAGGGGACCATTACTTGTGTCCCAAGTAGATCACGGGATTAACCCGAGATCACCTTCCAGCGTTCAGATGTATTCCATACATGCACCATGAAAATTCTGATGCATTGCTTACTCTTGTTTGATCCAGGCACATGTATATTCCAGTGAAAATGTCCACACAAATGGAAGCATTTCAGGAAGTGCACAGTTTTGCTCAGCTTTTCTTGCCAACATTGATGAACATAAATATGCTTCAGTTTGGATTTTTGGAAAATCTTATAGTCTACCACCATGGTCTGTGAGCATACTACCAGACTGTGAAACTGTGGCTTTTAATACAGCCAGGGTGAGTGGTCTCTAACTGCACATAATATATCTTATGAGGCTATAGCCTGTGAACAACTGAACTTCTTTGCATACTATGACTGTATTGTAGGAGTGGAAACTGGAAAGTATTCCCATAGTTTTGTCCAAACTCAGAAACAGAAATTGATAAATTGTCTTTCTGTGTACATGGAAATTATTTCTATATTTTCTCATAATTGTTGATAAAGTTTGTTCTCGAAAAGTTTTGAAGTTTGTTTCTCCTGTGATCCACTTATCCTTCAGGTCAATATACCCTTTAATTCTGAATTGAAATAGAAAATATCAAATCGTAAAGCAAAAAAAAATAACTCAGTAGTTATGTTTACATTTGGGAACTGCTGCATAATTCATGTTTCTGACGAGCGGTTTTTTTAACCCCACGGAGAGTCGAAACCAGGACCTGAGGAGTGCTACTCAAGCCATCTAACCAACTCACGCCAAAGCACAGGTCTAAGGCCCGGCCCCGGTCGTGATCGTTATTACATTGGCTATGGTGCCGCTGTGTATGGGTGATTGGGTGGGGCAGGGGTTCGGGGGGTTTTCTCGACCTGTGTGAGAAGGTCTTCTTAAAGCAATGCCCGGGGGCTGTCTTACCCCCCCGCAGGTCGAGTTTTTTTTTTTAATTCCTGTTTCTGCCAATCTGATATTTCCTCTGTTCTAAAGTCTATGTCTTTTCAGCGTTCTTACAGTTGAACTTTAGAATTTCCATTACTAATATACTCAATATTTATGAAACGGTCAAATGTGTGTTTGATAGTATTGTGTTGAGTTTGACTTGTAAAAGAGTGTGCAGTTAATAATATATATCGTAGTTCTATTGTGGAATATTTCATTTGCTTGATTCCATATAAGCACCCTATTGTGTCAACCATTAGCTTACAAATTTTATGTGCTGGAATTGTTACAGTAGATTGGAACCTATTCTGAGTTTCTGACATTGAAGCCTTGAACATTCTCTGGAACTGCCAGCTTCTTATTTTCATGCCTTTTCAAGTTGATCATGAGTTGTATTAATAAAGAAAAAAAATGACTGGGTTTGACATTTTTATCTAAATGTTCCACTTGAAGATGATAAACATGGGTATACACTTAACAAGAAACTGAACATGTAATAGGTGATCATTTTTTAATTGCTAGCTCATATCTTTTCAGGTTGGTACACAAACGTCATTTTTTAATGTCGAATCTGGGTCCCCCAGTTATTCAAGTAGACATAAGCCTAGAATTCTATCCCGTGGTGGCCCCTATCTCTCAACTACTTGGTGGGCTTCTAAAGAACCTGTTGGCATATGGGGTGAAGGCATCTTTACTGCTCAGGGGATATTAGAGCACTTAAATGTGACAAAAGACATCTCTGACTACCTTTCATATACTACCAGGTGAATGTTAACCTACAAGCTGTTCAAGAAAATTTGTTACCTCAGACCTGATTGAGAACCATCTTTTTATGTCTCCATTAACTAGGTGATGTTTAGTTGATTTGAAATTCCACACTTCCCTGCATGTTGCCATTATAGACCCATTTAAACTTTATGCTTTCTTGAATTCGATAATAATTCTATTTGTACGAGTACAGAACATGCAAGAGGTATCATAATATGCCCACATGTCCAACCAACATACCAGGGGAATGGTACACGTGTCAAAGATGTTATGGTGATACATTAATTTGTAGTCGAAAACAATAATACTTAAATTCTATATGAACCCAAACACTCGTGGTCTTTTTCACTAAGCCTCCATGTAATAGTGAGTAGTGACCAAGCTCTAATAGTACAAGTCTTAGCTAAGTACCTTCAGCTTTGGGATCTTGTGGATGGCCTTGTGTTGCTTCAGGGTGTTCCTGATCAGTGCGGATGGAAGTTTACACAGCCTGGTTCATACAGCAGTAAGTCAGCATATGCTGCTTTCTTTTTGGGGGCCATCAGGTTTGCTCCTTGGGAAAGAATTTGGAAGAGCTGGGCTCCCTTGTGCTGCAAATTTTCAATTGGTCCGCCATCAACAATTGGTGCTAGTCAGCCAACTGTCTTGCCAAGCGAGGGTCGCATCATCTGTCTGCTTGCCCTTTTTGTGATCAGGCTGTGGAAACAATTCAGCACATCCTTATCTCTTGTGTGTTTGCCCGGCAAGTATGGACGCTGATTTTTCAGAAGCTAAACCTGTCTGCTGTTGCTCCTTTGATCATCCCCGCGTTGAGGAACTCCATCATCAGCTTGGGACGGCTGGATGAGAACGGTTCGCGCGTGGTGGTTGAGGACGGAGTCATGAGGATTTGGGATCGTCGTCGTCGCCTTCTTGCCGAGGTATCCAGAAGCGCAAATCGACTCTACGTTCTTAACGTGCAGGTGGCACAACCCCTCTATCTCGCTGCTCGTCGGGACGACGAGGCGTGGCAGTGGCACGAGCGTTTCGGGCACCTTCACTTTGAGGCCCTGAAGCGGCTCAGTGCCACGGAGATGGTGCGAGGCCTGCCGTGCCTCGACCATGTGGAGCAGCTCTGTGACGTCTGCGTGTTGACGAAGCAGAGGCGACTCCCTTTTCCCCAACGGGCGAGCTTTTGAGCCAAAGAGAGGCTCGAGCTTGTGCACGGGGACTTGTGTGGCCCGGTGACACCGGCCACACCGGGAGGACGACGCTACTTCCTGCTGCTCGTCGACGACCTCTCCCGCTACATATGGGTGATGGTCCTCGGCAAGAAGAGAGAGAGGCTGCGGGCGCCATCGGTATGCCAGCAGTCGCTGCGCGGAGGCGGAGTCTGCGCGGCCGCAGTCTGCGCGTCTTCTTGCGCGCGACCGACAACGGCGGCGCGAATTCACGGCGGCTGAATTCGCGTCGTCTTCACAATGACGAGGGCATTCAGCGCCACTACTCGCGCCGTCAGACAGCCAGCGGAACGGAACGGCGTCGTCGAGCGGCGCAACCAGACGGTTGTGGGGATGGCTCGGGCCCTCCTCAGCGAGGGGATGCCGGCTATCTTCGGGAGAGGCGGTGGTGACGGCCGTCTACATCCTCAACCGCTTCGCCTACCAAGACGCTTCGACGGCGGACGCCAGACGAGGCTTGGCATGGGCGCAAGCAAGCGGCGGTCTCCCACTTGCGGGTCTTGGTACGCCTCGCATTCGCCAAGGAGCTTGGCCACATCGCAAAGCTCGACGACGAGAGCACTCGGAGTGTTCATCGGCTACGCTGGGGGCTCGAGCCTACCGCATCCTCGACCAAGACACGGCGTGTGCGCGCGCACGCAGCGCGACGTTGTGTTCGACGAAAAAGCGAGGATGGGCGTGGACAAGGCAAAGCGATGGGCAACGGCTCGGCTCGACGACGTCGACGACGACTTCACTATCGAGTACGTCCCACTTCGAGGGAGCCGGGGAGTAGGCGCTTCTTCTTGGCGGCGTGTCTACCCCGATCCTCCGAGCCCTCCACCGACCCCGCACTGCTACTCGACAAAGACCACGCTCTCCACCAGACCTCGGCTGCGATGAGCTCTTCACCGCTCCACCACAGCCGGCAACGCCACGCACTCCAAAGACCGACAGCACCACTCGGACGCGTCTACTCCACCACCAGCTCGTGTCGAGCACGGCGGCCGGTTGAGCTCGCTATTCGCTCTCTCACGACGAGGAGCGCGTCGACGCGATACACCACGACGGTGAGCCGTTCTTGATACCGTCACGGTGGAGAACCTTCTCGGCGACCACCGGTCACGGGACCGGTGCCTCACGACTGGAGGCGCGATTGCACCTTGCGTGTGACGACGGCGAGCCTCGGTCGCTTGCGAGAGCCGAGAGACACGCGCATGGCGCGCCGCGATGCAATTGGAGATGGATGCGGTTGAGAAGAACCGCACTTGGGAGCTTGCTGACCTTCCTCGTGGTCACCGCGCGATCACCCTTAAGTGGGTGTACAAGCTGAAGAGGGATGAAGCCGGCGCCATCGTCAAGCACAAGGCTCGCTTGGTGGCACGAGGTTTCGTGCAGCAGGAGGGGGTCGACTTCGACGACGCCTTTGCTCCCGCGTACGGGATGGAGTCCGTCGCGACTCCTCCTTGCGCTAAGCTGCCCGGAGGGCTGGCGTGTTCATCACATGGACGTCAAGTCGGCGTTCCTTAACGGCGACTTGAAGGAGGAGGTCTACGTGCACCAGCCGCCGGGATTTGCGATCCCCGGCAAGGAGGGCAAGGTGCTCCGCCTGCGCAAGGCCCTCTATGGCTTGCGGCAGGCACCGAGGGCGTGGAATGCCAAGTTGGATTCCACGCTAAAGGGGATGGGCTTCGAGCAAAGCCCGCGACGAGGCGACCATCTACCCGACGGGCAATGGAGGAAATGCCTGGCCGGTGGGTGTCTCGTCGGCGACTTGGTGATCACCGGCACCAAGGATGTGGAGGTGGCGGCATTCAAGGAAGAGATGAAGGCCACCTTCCGGATGAGTGACCAGGGCCTCTCTCCTTCTACACGGGAATCGAGGTGCACGGGATGACTCGGATCACGCTTGACGGACCGCCCGCCAAGCGCGTCGTTGAGCTAGCTGGGCTCACCGATCGCAACCCAGCTCTCACTCCGATGGAGGAGAGGCTGAAGTCGAGCCGCGACAAAGACGACGGAGGAGGTGGATGCTACACGCATCTGCGCGCCTTGTGGGGAGCCTTCGCTACCTCGCCCACACACGGCCGGACTTGGCATTCTCCGTCGGCTCGTTAGTCGGTTCATGCAACGACGACGACGGAGCACCAAAGCGGTGTGAAGAGGATCATCCACTACGTTGCGGGGGACTCTCGACCACGGCCTCTACTACCCGAGGTGTCCTGGGGCGGCACACTTCGTCGGTGCAACGACAATGACCACGCCCGGCGACATCGACACCAAAAAAGAGCACGAAGCGGATCCTCTTCTTCCTCGGCAAGTGCCTCTCGTTAGGCTGGCGATCGGTCAAGCGGCAGGTGGTGGCCTGTCCATTGCGCGAGGCCGAGTACATAGCGGCCTCCACCGCTTCGACTCAGCGCTCTGCTCTCGCTCGATCGCTTGGTGATCTCCTCGGCGAGACACTAGAGAGCGGTGGAGCTCGGGTGACAACAAGTCCGCTCTGCTGCCTGGCAAAAGAACCCCGTGTTCCACTTAACGCAGCAAGCACATCCGGTGAGAGTACCACTTCATCCGAGGCTGTTTGGAGGAAGGGAGCATCAAGGCGAACTACATCAACACCAAGGACCACTTGCGGACCTGCTCACCAAGCCCCTTGGGAGGATCAAGTTCCTTGAGCTCTGCTCTCCAGGGACTGGATGGTTCAACTCTCCCACAAGACGACGCACAAGACTTAGGGGGAGAATGATGGATAAGTCATGTGTGGCTAGTCTTTGTGGGGCTGTTGTTGCTCACATGGTCCTTGTGGCTGTTTTTCTGTTTTTAGGACAGCATCTTAGACTAGAGGACAACATCTTAGAGGACAGCATCTTAGACTAGAGGACAGCATCTTAGCTAGGACAGCATATTAGCATCTTAGACTAGCATCTTGGCATATGCTTGGCTGGCTAGCAGCCTATAAATATGTAACCCCAACCCCTCAGGTTGGTATGGCATTTGTGTGAGCTTGTGTGAGAAATAGACAAGAAAATTGCCCCAACTCCTAGTGTCATCCTCTCTCGATGAGAGTAAGAATTCTCCTACTACCAAGAGTGAGAATTCAGCGACTAACAAGGCAACCCATTTCTCTAGCTGGTGGGTTAGCACCATCAGGAATGTCCCCAAGGAGATACGGAAAGGGCTCAATTCCCTAATCACCCTTGTGGCTTGGGAAGTTTGGAAGCATTGGAATGCTTGTGTTTTAGAGGGAGTGTTGCCAAACATTCAAGTTCTCCTTCAAACGTTAGTGGATGGGTGGGGTTTGTGTAGCATGGTGAGGGCTTCTAATCTCCATTTCCTTAGGTTGCCTGCCCCAGACTTCTATTCGTTTGGAGGCTGGCTGGTCTTTCTTTTGGTCATGGCTGTTTGTGTTGTATGTGCTTGGACAGGGCTGCTTTTTTTCTTTGCCCTCTGTACCTTTTTCCATCCTAATGAAATGACATGCACCTCTCCTGCATCGTTTGAGGAAGAAAAAACGACGACCAGGCTTCACATAATGCCCCCTTCTACAATTTTAAAGATGAAAATGTGCACATTTTCTACCGTGTGGTGAAAATGTGTTACTGCACATGTCCGTTCACTTCATCTAAAATAGAAATGAAATTTGCATCCAAGAAAGAGAAACCCCATAGATTTGTAGCTTGGCTTTCTAAAGTACAGAGTAGGTCTTTAGGTTGCTAGATTGCTGTTGACACAATTGAACAAGCTTTGTTGGAGGATTTTTATTTTTTCATATTTAAATGCTGCCTTCAATTGTTTTCTAGGGGTAAACAATGATTATATATAGATTAATGGGTTGTTGGCATCACAGTAAACTTATATTTGGATCCAACATTTAGAACCATTTATTTTTTGTGCACACCAAGTGATCTTTAAAAATTCCAGGTTGTTGCTTGTGGAAGTATTTCTCTTCTCTATGAAATTCGAAGTCAAACTAAGCGCAAAATTTTAGGAGAAGTTTGCTAAGTAACTTTGATCATTGCCAATTTTCTTTTTACTTTTGGTTTACTACTGCTATTTTTGTTTCTTCTATGGTTGATTGAATTTTTGAATTGATTATTCATAGAAGCAGGCTAAATTGAGAAAAAAACTCATTAAATTCTTTTCAAAATAAGATTCATGTTTGATTTGATACATGACCAAAGTCTTTTGTCTCACGAGCTATTGGTTTGTGACTAACTAGTGTTCATTTGTTTTCTCTTGCATTGTTGGCTCTACTGTTCTGCAGTTTGTGTATTTCACTTTCTGTTGTGTTGACAGTCCACTTGTTTCGATATGTAATTACTATACACATTGATTCAACAGAGTGAACATTTCTGATGAGGATATTTTATATTGGAATTCAGAAGGTTTACTTCCATCACTAACCATAGATCAAATTCGCGATGTTGCGCGCATATTTGTAAATGGGAAGCTTGCAGGTATTTATTTGCATTCACAGTCCTGTGAATTATGTTAATAATGTTCGTGAGAAAACATACTACCTGCACAGCAAGCTGTAAATTCCTCCATATCTTAATTCTGTTCTGATATTATGGGCCATTTATTGTAAGTAAACTATTGTAGGGATTTCATATGATATAGGTAGAGGTTGACACTAATCCAATTGTTCAATGGTTTGAGTTCCTGAGTCAGTCTCTTCATGTCAGTAATATGTTTTTTCCTCTATAGCTAATGACCAGATGAGAACTTGTATCAGCATGCAATCACTTACCTATATAGTTTCTTGAAACAGAGTCTTCTGTGCTCTTGTATTATGTTTAGTCATGTCCCATTTGTAAATGATTCAGTGTTATTCGTTAATTTATCTTTCAATGTGAAGGTAGTCAAGTTGGTCACTGGGTCTCACTGAATCAACCACTTCAATTGGTTCAAGGACTTAATGAGTTGACATTGTTATCAGAGATTGTTGGCTTGCAGGTATGCCAATATGAAAACAGTCTTGTTTATGCATATACACTAGTATGAACATGTTTTTAGTTATTATTCCAATTAGTACTTGGGATAAATTATGCTGTGGATTGTGTGTTCGAGAAAAAATTATGCAGGGACCCTTATGTACACATACGGATATGCCTATGAGCCTATCGGTGTCAGACCCATACATATACGTGGATATGCCATTTTCCCAAAAGGAAAACTCAATATGTGGATATCATTTAGTTTTTTTAAAAAAATATATAAATTATGGGACACAGTAAAATTTAACAGCAAATCCAAGCATATCAATAACTCCATTGTCTAATTTTCCAATTACTGACAAAAGCCAAATAGGAATGTATATATCTTATATATTATATAAGATACAAAGTTACAAGTGATTTCTGTTTTAACTTGGTGGTAGGAAGTACACCTTTGTGGCTCAGATGTGATCCATTGATCTAGTTCATTACATGATACTCCCTCCGTTCTAAATTATGTTCATTTTGGCTTTGTCCAAAATATATTAACATATACAAATTCAAATAAATGCACTATAAAAACATATTTCATTCAGAATTTAATGAAACTAATTTGACATTGTAGATGTTACTGCATTTTTCTATAAACTCGGTCGAAGTTAGAGAAGTTTGACTTATGACAAAACTAAAGTGAATTATAATTTGGAACGGATGGAGTAATGGATACCTAGCCAGCTAGGCTAGGAACTGCAACCTTGCAACTCAGGTTTCTTCTTCACCCTCATGTGCTTGAGTGCTTTATCCTCAATGGTTGCTGCCATCTAGTCACGGCCAGGAAAATCAAGCTATAAGAACACAAGATCACTTATCAGTAGCACTAATTGATTATATTAACTTGCTAGCAACTACTTGATTCAGGGAAGGTCAAGGGTGGAGAGAGAAGAAACTGACTGTCTAGTCGCCGCTGGCTCGCTGCAGATCAGATGTGTCGCCACAGGTGCGCACACTGTGGTTGCACGCGGATAGGTTTGTGGGTGGCGTGCGTCGTTGGCTTGCTGCCAGCTGTTCCTGAGGGCATTGAGGTGGAGCTGCAACTGTGTGCCGCACGGTTGAGAGGAAACAAATATGAATGGGAAATAATGGAACATGGAGGAAATAGGGAGGAAATGAACTCACCTGACTGTCACAATTCACTGTTAGCTATGTGCAAGAGTTTTGAGTCTGTGTAATTGCATCACTCATATTTGGTCCCCGTATGAGTGAGGATCCTGCTGAGGACCACCCCTTCTCTCTAATACAATGAAACACAGCTCTCCTGTGTTTTCAAAAAAAAAAAAAAAGGTTCACCAGGGGTCGCCTTTGCTGGAGGTGGCTGTACACCTTTATGTGCTGCTGTAGTGGCTAGGGCAGGTAATGACTTGAGCGAGTTGCAATGCCCTCAAGTACCAATCTGTTAACTGGGCTGGGCTGTGTCTAACAGAAATAGATGGGCTGACATGTATTGTCCCAAGTATCCAATATTCCTATATTTATTTTTACTCTCGAAACTCCAAGGATACGTATTGGGGCCATATCCCTCACATATCCTTATTGGATATGTATCTAATAGGGGAGATGGGGATACCTACTCACCATGGCCATGTTCCACCACGTTCCTTTTTCTCGAAAATATGGGAGAGCTGTGTTTCTTTGTATTTAGAGATAGAAGAATGAAGTCAACTGAACAGTACCCCTAGAGCAAGGTACAGTGGAAAGTACAAGAAGGAACTTAAACACTGAATGACTGAAAAATAAAAAGAGAAAAAGGAGAAAAAGGAAGGGTGGCAGAGAGCAGAGCTCCAAGTGCCTAGTCCAATATGACGCCAACTCTGCCAAGCCCTTTTGCTCCTGCGGAATCCACGCCTGCTTGGCAAACGCATGTCATATGGATGTGATAGATTGTTTCTTCAACTTGATCACACCCCTGATTGCATACTGTTTATCTTCTCTTATTATACTTAAAATATTGTAGTTCTTTTGTGAACCCTGCACAGTTAATTGTTGTTAGCAACTTGTTTGGTGTCTACACTGATCAATCTTACTTCAACTATCTCATTGAATAATGTACGGACATATGACCCATATTTAATATGATATATCTTTTTCATTTTCTTCTGTCCGCTTTTCCTTTTAGTTGTATTTGTATGCATGATCATCAAGCATGAGATGAAAAATGCTGTTTCTTGTTTCATAATGATTGGACATTCGCAAGAACTATGGTGCTTTCTTGGAGAAGGATGGTGCTGGATTTAGAGGTCAAGTAAAACTTACTGGCTTGTCAAATGGGGATATTGACCTTACTAATTCTCTTTGGACATATCAGGTATTGACTAGCTTTAGCATTGAAATTTTCTTTTATTCTGATAACTTGAAGCTTTGAGTTTCAACCTCTTCTATGTTGTTTGTTGTGATTTGATGCTATTGTTTTCAGTTCTGCTTATTCATGTATATTCATACTATTATGTAGCTACAAAGGTTTACATTAGAAGGATAAGATTGCTCAAATATTGTACTTATGAGTTACGATGTGGATAAAGATCGCTAGAATATTGTACTTATTGGTTACGATGTGAATATAAGAAGGCTACAACATTGGTTGCGCATTATCTCGAAACTCGTCTTGTCTAACTTCTTGAACTTTGTTCTTCACCAATAGGAAATGTTTTATGTAGCATCTCTTCATCATATCGTGGTTGCTAGCTTCTTGCGCACAGGCACGAGTAGTGTGCTATGTGGTTGAATCTTGTAATGAGAATTCTAATGCAGCATTAGCTGGACAATATGCTAAAATGCTAAATATTATCTTTCCAAATTGCAGATTGGTTTGAAAGGTGAGTTTTCAAGGATCTATTCTCCTGAGAATCAAGAATCTGCTAAGTGGAGTAGCATGCAGAATGATGACATACTTTCACCCTTCACATGGTTCAAGGTAACTTTATCTTTTCACCACATGAATTGCTAACTTTTGATGATATCATACTTTATGTTCTAGTATGATATATTTTTTTCAAATTTTACTCCTAGCTTAGTCAGGAAAATCAGCCTTCACTTATATTACCTCCATGCTCCATCTTGAAGTATAAGTGATTCTGAGTCTGTCCTAAGTTTGACCAAGTTTGTATAGAAAAGTATTGTCATCTACCACATCAAAAAGGTGAATTATGAAAAATAATATTTCATAATGCATCTAATTATGCTTATTTGATATCGTAATTATTATTGTTCTTTTTCTATAAATTTGGTCAAACTTATAAAAAGAAAAAAGATCTTACTAGTTTTTTTTGCCGCACAGTTTCTGGTAAAAAAGGTCAAACTTCTAAGTTTTGACTTAGAACAAACTTATGGTTCAGGATGGAGGAAGTTTCATCTGGACTCCAAGGAAATTCAATCTACATCTTTTCTTTTTTCATGTCTTCACAACTACTTTGTGTTGCAGACTATGTTTGATGCTCCAGAAGGTAATGGCCCTGTTGCCATTGATCTTGGGAGCATGGGAAAGGGCCAGGCTTGGGTGAATGGGCATCTCATTGGGCGCTATTGGTCACTAGTTGCGCCAGAGTCTGGGTGTCCAGTCTCATGCAACTACGCAGGAACATACGGTGATAGCAAGTGCCGATCGAACTGTGGAATTGCTACACAAAGCTGGTATTAACAAAAAATAATTTATAGTTTAGCTGTTTCGTTAGTTGGCTTTTCCATGTCATGCTTTGCTGTCCTTAGTATTTATTGCATGGCAACATATTACATGTAAACAAGTCAGGTTAGAATCTTTTTAGTTCTTATATGAGAATCCACACCAAATGATGTGGTCATAGAGAATATTGGAGTGGCCAGCCAATCCTGGTATCTTCAGAATTAGAAAATTGGAGGGACCAAGTCAGGAAATTTGGTTATAGCATGTGTTCTTGTAGATCTTATGAGATTTGAGTGAGGATCATTCTGTATCAGAATAGTTAGTTGCAATCTTCCAGTTTGTAGATCACTGAGATGTTACGCACCTTGTCATTAAGTTAAATAATATTTCAATGCACATGTGGAAATTTAACCTCATAAGTGCCTTGTTTCCTTTCAGGTACCACATACCACGCGAATGGTTGCAAGAGTCAGGCAATCTATTGGTACTCTTCGAGGAAACAGGGGGAGACCCTTCTCAGATATCGCTGGAGGTTCACTACACCAAAACAGTCTGCTCAAAAATATCTGAGACTTACTATCCTCCCCTTTCTGCCTGGTCACATGCTGCCAACGGTCGTCCCTCAGTAAATACGGTAGCACCGGAGCTTCGCTTGCAGTGCGATGAGGGGCATGTGATCTCGAAGATTACGTTTGCGAGTTATGGGACCCCTACAGGAAGTTGCCAGAACTTCTCTGTAGGGAATTGCCATGCGTCGACTACACTAGACTTAGTGGCCGAGGTAAGTTGGCAAGCACCAACATGCATCTTGTAGACATATATCAGCAACTCGACCTCTGTTATCTTTGCACATGTTAAGCCTATATACGTCCATGAAACACAAATAAACAAATTGATTTCATTTGAAAAATCCACCACACACCAAACCTGTAACACTCAGTTTACTGTGTTCCCAGGCCTGCGAAGGCAAGAACAGATGTGCGATCAGTGTTACCAACGATGTATTTGGCGATCCGTGCCGAAAAGTCGTCAGGGATTTGGCAGTTGTGGCCGAGTGCTCCCCGCCCTCAGCTAACGAAGAACCTCGAGATGATATGTGATCATGGTACTCTAATGTGGTGCTCAGGTCCTGGAAGATCTATGGTGGGCGTTGCCACAGCTTTGCAGGGCTGGGCCATGCACAGTTGCCCTGCATCGTTCTCTCCTGTACCTTTGGCTTTGCACCCATATTATATGTAAAGACAGTGTCCTACTCCTACGTGTAAGAGAGAGAGAGAGAGAGAGATGGAAAAGAGAAGGAAAAAGAATAAAAGTTGCTTCCTTACAGTTACAGATGGTCATTCCTGTGGATTGTGGGCTTACTCCTGTAGGGGCCATACCTTTGGACTGTGCCCCTTTAAGGCCTTTACCGGAATCTCGCAGGAATCAGTTCAATTTTACTTGAAAAATGCAGGAACAGGCATTTTTCCCCGCAATCAAACAGGCCCTTACCTCACCTGCGGATGACTGACCGCGGCTGCTGGTGACGCCCTTTGGGCCAAGCCCCATGTGCATTCTCCTGGCGTGCTGGCTCAGCGAGGGTAGGAAAAAAAAGGGGCCTGGCGTGCCGGGCCGACAAAAGAGGATAGAAAGGGGGAATGCTTAGAGGCCGCGGTGAGGATTTGCCAGGCAGGATAAAAAGGGGGAATGCTAAAAAAAAGGCATTAGGAAAAGCTTTTCCATTTTTTGCACAAGGTTTTTAAACAATTTTCAAAGAAAGGATAGCTCTAACTATAACCAAATTAAAGCCAATAAAATCAAGCATTTACACAAGTGCATGGATTGTATGTGTCTGTGTTTTAACCACCGACAATGATTTTTTTTGTCTAAGGTGGCATGTTGGTAAACATAAGCATTTTGTGGGCCGGGTTGGGCTGAAAAAAGGCTGGCTGTTTTGGGTCAACATAATACTGCCCATGACTATCTCGTTGGGCAAGTCAGGCCTAATTTTCTGGGTTGGGTTCGGGCCAGGTGCGGGTTTGGGCCTAGGCAGCCTGCCTGTGCAATTTATAGTGTAGAATAGCTAAAATAAATATTTCAGTGCAGGAAAAAAATTAGCCTCCATTTTCCTATGTTATCTAAAATGACATAGGAAAAAGAAGTCCAGCACCACAAGCATATAATTAGCCTCCATTTTGGGTGAGCACAGTACAGGGTTTAATCATGGGAGGCAAGTTAATGCTAAGGACTAGGATAGGTGGCTAGGTGCACAAGGTGATTTTGGGTTAACCATCTTGCAAGTGATAGATTTGGGGAGGAGGAGAATTAAATGGCACGCATACAAGCAAGCCCAATCAATGGCTGGAACATTTAGTTGGTTGGTTGCTACTTGCTAGCTGAATCATCTTCCCATCCTTTTCTTCAATTTTTGCTCTGCCTTTTTTTTTCTCATGGTTTATTTAGCTTCTAGAATACCCTCTTTTTTTTGCATGCTTGTGACCTTTGATATAGAAAATCCGGCGGCATTTTATTGACGGTTGTTGATTCGTCTAGAGTGTGACGTGAGAGGTGATGGGTTGAATACTTGAATGTGCACACTTTTGGTGAAGCGACAAGTTGGAATGAGTTTGGTGGGTGAGACCACCATGCTCCATGCACACGTTGTGGGTTGGATAACATAATAAGGCCTGCAGGGCTTTATTTAATGTTTTTCCTGTATAATAAATCTCAAATTTCCTACTCAAATTATTTAGTGCAAATCTATATTTGTTTCCTTTGGACTCAAATATTTAGCAACCTGTTTTATATATTGTTATTGAGGTCTATCGTTGATCCGTGCACTCAAAATATCAAGTTGTTTAGGAAAAAAGTGTAGTATATTATAAATACTTCAGAACCTCCACAACAAAAATTGGTGCATGAGAGTGATCAATCAATTGAAGTCGGCAACGACTTTGGCCTACCCAGATGATTATCTAATCTGGCCGATTAAATTCTACATTGACTCTATACTCTTCTTATTGATGAAAACATGCATGCTTCTTACCTCAAAATTAGTCCCAAATTAAAAGACTTGACATTTTAGTTTTCTCCTAGCAGGCCAAAGTTTTTTAGGACCAAGGTAGTACCAACCTTAGGATGTAAAAATTGGTGCATGAAAGTGACCAATCGGTTGAAGCTGGCAACGGCTTTTGCCTACCCAGATGGTTATCTAATCTGGCCGATTAAATTCTACATTGACTCTACTGTTCTTATTTATGATGAAAACGTGCATGCTTCTTATCTTACCTCAAAATTAGTCTCAATGGAGCGATAGAGAAAAGAAATAAAAGGGGTTTCATTGTCTACTTACCAAGTGTCCGCTATAACTGATGAGAGAGAACTTATGTTATCCTCTTCGTCCTTGAATGAATCAGTTTCTAGAATTGTCTTAAGTCAAGTTTTTTTTATATACAACAACAACAACAAAGTCTTTTAGTCCCAAGCAAATTGGGGTACGCTAGAGTTGAAACCCAACATGAGCCCATAGCCACGGTTCAGGCACGTCAATAACTGTTTTTTTATATATATTTAACCAAATTTATAAATCAATTTCCTTAAAGTGCCGACTCCATGCATCCTTGAGGCTAATTCAGTACGGATTTTTTTTTTTTTAAACTTGACCTAATTGCGGCCATCCTTGAGGCTAATGTAGTACGGATTGGTTTGATTTGACCCAAACATGCCACTCCAAAAGAAGAATGAAAAAACTAGGTTTCGTTTTCAAATTGACATTATTGATGCATCAAAATCCCTCGAGTACATAGTATGTATTTCTTCCACACACTTGGTTGATAAAAGTATTGATTGATATTTGATACCGACACCCTTGAAACTTTTTTAAAAATGTTATTACACGCAAGTTCATCTTTCCTGCAAAACCAAACTTGTGCACGCAACAAGGTCTTATATATTTAACTAATGATGATGATGAGGCCTTGGTAAGAACAGATGAAATGACGTGGGTTAGATTGTTGCATCGTTATGGCCGGTGACAGTACACGCAAGGCAGAGTAGGGGGAGGCAGCAGAACAAACCCTGTGCCGGAAGATACCGTTGGAAACACGGCAACCGTCTCCCTGACCACCCCGCCAGAATCGCAACAAGAAATGCCAGTAGAGACTAGAGATGAGTCCAAGCCATATTACAATCTTGTCTCCTACCCCAGTCTCACTCTATCTCGACCTCCTCTGGCAATTCCCCATCGTCGTCTTGTATCCTTTTCGTCCTCTGCCCCTCCGGTTAAATCCTCCTCACCAAGAAAAAGAAATCGATCGTCCTCGTTCTTGTCGTCGTTCTTTCCTCGCCATTACCGGCGTATAAAAGCACCAATCCTCGGCCAGCGTGATCACACAACAGCCCGGCCACGGACAAAGCAAGCAGTAGTCCCTGTCTGTCTGCGAGTTCGTCTTCCTGTCTGCCGCTCTCGTCGCCGCCGATGGGCCTCTTCAGCTCGCCGCCGAAAGTGTACAAGCCGGCCGCCGACGTGGACCTCGGCCCCGGCAGCGACGAGTTCTACATCAGCCCCAATGTCAAAGGTCTGCTCGCCCCTGCCTTCCTGCTCCGAATAAATTCGGTGTTCTGAATTCAGTCGTTCTAGTAGCATAAGAGAGTTCATAATTCTGCTGATCTGATCTGAACTCAGTTCAGTTCTTGGAGTACAAGAGAATTCAGAGTAGATGTTTCTTTTTCCCTCGTCCTCGATGTTTCAGCTCCTCGGGTCGCCGGGCTCCTGGTGAAGATCTTCGTGTGGATCCTGGAGATGCCCATCGTCGGGCCGATCGTGCTCTACATCCTCAAGAAGGACAACCTCATCAACAAGGTGCCAATCCATCTCTCTCCCCCTCCTTGAAAACTGTTTTCGTTGCTCCCCTGAATTCAAGCATCGATCAAACGTCTTTTCTGCCAACGCTTCCGTCAAACGAACTCAAAGTTTGGCCGAAGTTTGACCATGACGCTGCCTCTGCCTCGGCCTGTGAAGTACTGAAGTTTGAACGCAGCAGCAGACAGCAGTCATCGTCATCTCAGGAAACGGCACCGTGGTTCCGTTTCGAATTTCCTTCCCTTGCACTGTTGTCACATCAGAGCAAGAAGAGAAGTTTTGCAGTATAATTCAGCGTCTTCTCTGACCGAATCTGTCCACTGTTGGCAGCTGGTCTCTGACGCCGACATCCCGGAGCCGCCGCTGTTCACTCCGACGCACAGCTGGGAAGGTTCTTGTGCTCTCACCCTGTGTGTCTTCTGCTGTCATTCTGTCTGCCAAACTCTGCACTCTGAACCGACCGATCGACCAAACGCACTGTGGTTGTTTCAGACATCCCGGAGCAGAACGTGCGGCTGACGAAGCCGGACCTGTCGGCGGCGGAGCGGGTGCAGGAGGCCGTCGGCTGCCTCCCGCTCCCGGCGCGGCTGGAGGCCACGCTGGCCGCCGACGCGGTGCCAGGCCTCAGGCGCTGGACCGTCCGGGACTTCTCCGACGCGTACAGGTCCGGCGAGACGACGCCCGTCCAGGTGAGCGTGCATGCACTGTCCAGGTTCTTGCTCGTCGACGGCGACGAGCTGTACGTGCAGGTGATTCCTCGGTCCCTGTCCTGTCGTGAGGCAGTGATGACTATGAGCTGTGCAGGTGGCGACGAGGTTCCTTGCGGCGGTGAGGGAGAGCTCGCGCCCTGGGATGAACATGGCCTTCTTCATCAGCTGCGACCCCGACGACGTGATGCGGCAGGCCAAGGAATCCACCCTCAGGTACCAGAGAGGTAACGTATACTAACTCTACTCACTCCTAGTACATTTCTTTTTCCCTGATGGGTGAAAAAGAATAGCATAGCATTTCTGCTGCTGTCGACAACAGAACAAGGTCGTCAGTCAGCTTCTTCTCGGTGGCTGGCTGGCTCTGAGCTTTCAGTTTTGACACCTAGCTAGAAGTAGTACACTAGTTTAGTTTGTCTCTAGTTCTTGGCTTGCAACCTGCAGCCAGCCTCCGTTGCCGGTACCAAGCAGTAACTAGTGTAGCACAAGAAACAGAGCTGCTGAATTCTCTGAATTGGCTTCTGAAAGAGGCACTTGATTGATTCCACGACAAGAAAACGGGCATGATAGGTGTAGGATACCAGGAGAGAAGGAAACGGGACAATCACAATGCAAGAGACATCACACGAGAGAGAGTTGCAGACGTTTGCAGGCTACTAGTATCCGCGGCTCTCAAGTCTCGCGCATTCACTGCGCCGCCGCCGCCACCTGCCGGCCGGTCACTGGACGGACGGACGCTAGTAGCCTCAAGTCGGAGAAGATTGCTAGTACTGGTAGAGTGCGCAACGTCGATCCAAGTCGACTGCGGTTGTAGGTCAGTCAGGCTCGGCCAGCCACCAGACTGTGATAATAATCGATTGATTAAAATTCGCTGTGGTTGTGGCGTTGAAATCGTTCATTCAGCTGCCATGGACACGTATGTACTCCTTCCGTCTCATGAAAAAAAAAAATTAGATTTCGAGACAATTGACCAATTTTATGCAAATAGTATCAACATCTATATTTCTATAAATCTATTATGAAAATATGTTTCAATATTTCATTTTAATTTAAGAGTAAATTGCATTGGCGGTCTCTAAACTTGGGAGGTCGTGCTATCCAGGGCCCGTTCGCTTCGCTGAAAAAACAAGCCAAAACACTGTTCCGGCTGATTTGTTGTGAGAGGAAAACACAGTTCCGGCTGAAAAAACAAGCTGAAAAAGACGGATTATAAAAAAAGCGAACAAGGCCTAGGTCCCAAACTTTTTTAAAAAGATTTCTAGGTCTCTAGACTTATCCTAAGCTCTAGCAGTGGTCCAAACGGGTTTCGACCCGCTTCATGTACACCAACGTGGCATACTAACACAGTGCTTATATGAATCTAAGATGTTGGTTTTATAAACTTGCACAGTGGTCCCATCTAGGTTCCAAACTTGCTAAACAAGCCATACAACATACCCGAACTTGCATGTTAGTGCCATCTATGTATCTAACTTTCAAAACTGGAGATTTAGATCCCCAATCTTGTTAAACGGGCCATACAAGGTACAAGTTTAGGTACCTCTGTGGCTCGTTTAGCAAATTTGTGACCTAGACATGCAATGTTGGAAGTTTGAGACTTGGATGCCCCGGTCGTGTAAGTTTAATTTGATCAACAGTGAGTTACCATGCCATGTCGATGTATGGAGTGCATTGAAACCCCATTTGGACCAATGGCGGGCAAGTTTAGGCATCTAGATAATTTTTTAAAAAAGTTTGAAACTTGATGGCACTACGTCGTAAGTTTAGGGACTACCTTTATATTTTACGTTTGATTTAATGGTATTTATTGGGTATCATAAACATTTGTATTTTTTTAATACATTTTGTTAAATTTAAAATTGCTTGACTCTTATAAAGTGAGAATTATTTTTTTTAGCATGAGAAGATTATTAATTATTTTAAAGTGAGAATATATATTTTTTAGTGTGAGACGTTATTTATTTTTTTTTAAAAAAATGGCAGGGGCGCCGCTGTCAGCGCTGGATGGCGTGCTGGTGGGCGTGAAGGACGAGATCGACTGCCTGCCGTACCCGACCACCGGCGGCACGCGGTGGCTGGGCGCTGTGCGGCGCTGCGAGGCCGACGCGGCGTGCGTGGCGCAGCTGCGGGCCTGCGGCGCCGTCCTCGCCGGCAAGGCCAACATGCACGAGCTCGGCGCCGGCACCAGCGGCATCAACCCGCACCACGGGTACGTTGGTTAACCCAGGAACACAACCTTTTCTACACGTGCCTGGCACGTCACGTGTTTACGACTACTTATTACACCCTGTGTGATGACCACTGATGATGCGACTCCGTCTGTCCGTCCGCGTGCAGGTCGACGAGGAACCCGTACAACGCCAGCAAGGTCGCGGGGGGCTCCTCCAGCGGCTCCGCCGCCGCCGTCTGCGCCGGCCTCTGCCCCGTCGCGCTCGGCGTCGACGGAGGCGGTAAGTGTCGATCATCTCCTCTGCTGCAACAACTAACTGACACTAGTACTGAAACTCAACACTGAAACTCACGACCATGCATGCCGTACGTCAAAATTCGTTCCAGGCTCCGTCCGGATGCCGGCGGCGCTGTGCGGCGTGGTCGGGTTCAAGCCCACCGCCGGCCGCCTCTCCAACGCCGGCGTGCTCCCGCTCAACTGGACCGTTGGGATGCCGGGGATCCTGGCGGGGACGGTCGAGGACGCCCTCATCGCGTCAGTCATCATTCACCACGACTAGCTTGTTTCTTTGTTCCTTCAATTGTTATTACTGATTGTCTGAATCTCATCATTCCCATTCATCCACTGCTCACCATCTGAAATCCGAAGAGGGAAAAAAACATAAACCTTGTGGTCCATCCTTGTCTTGTTTCAGTTACTCGGCCATCGTCGACCAGTCCCAGCCGTCCTACTTGCGGGTAAATCCCAATTCTGTTCTTTCTCTGAACCTCATCTCTACTGTTTGCATTGCCATCATCCGACTGACGGGCGAACGCGCTATCTGCAGCCGGAACTGAATCTTCCTCAGCTCAGCTGCACACCCTCCATCGGCAACATCAAGCTCGCCAAATACGGAAAGGTTAGCTATAACATTAATGAACAAGTCCAATTAAGAGATAGAGACTACAAAATCTGATTACACATTATTCTGACGCTGATGGTGCGGCAAATAAAATGCAGTGGTTCAATGACAGCGCCGAGGACATCAGGAGCTGCTGCGACAAGGCTTTGCAGGCGCTGCACGCGCACTACGGCTGGCAGGTACTGTACGCCCGGTGACGAGCCAGGGTTTAATTTCTGCATGCCTGTGATGGATTTGGATTCGATCGCCTGAACTGAACACTCTCAGTCTCTCACGATCGCTCGATAATCTCATGGAATTTGCATTATTGGCGCCTGCACTGCACATGTACACGCAGACTTTGGACGTGACCATCCCGGAGATCGAGCAGATGCGGCTGGCGCACTACGTCACCATCGGCTCCGAGTGCACCACGTCGCTCGCCAAATACCTCGACAACCTGTAAGAGCCCGGAGCTCATGCTCTTCACAACGGGTCGATCTTGCTATGCGAGCTGACCAGCTGACCTCCGATGAGCTCTGCTGACGGCCGGTGTCATGTGTGTGATCTGTGCTGTGTCGGCAGGAAGAGGTCTGAGATCGGCTGGGACGCGAGGGTGGCGCTCAGCGTCTACGGCTCCTTCAGCAGCAGGGCGTACCTCAACTCGCAGCGACTCCGGTGGGTGACCTAGCTCAGGACGGCATTGATTCTGCAATTCCATTCAGTGACCATCGACGTACTGTTTCTTCTTGCAACTAACCCAAAAAAACACAAAATGTCAGGAACCGTCAGATGTACTTCCACAAGCAGATCTTCAAGACCGCAGACGTCATCGTCTCGCCGATGACCGGGTACCTAGCTGCCTCTTCAGTTGTCGAACGTCTCCTGCTTATTTCACTTGCTCACTTCACAATTCACATGTAAACTCCTTTAATTTGGTTCTCTGAAGTGTGACTGCCTACACGCTGCAAGACGACGCACACGACACCGGCGAGCTCGACTACATAAACGGAGGTAACGACATCGATCTTGCACAATGCATGTGTATTACACCGTCCCGTCTGTCTGTCTGTCTGTCCGTCCTGACTAGCTCATTGCTCACGCACGCCGTCGCCGTTGACGACGACCGTACCACCAATGCAACAGCGGCGCTGATCCGGTACTCCATAGCCGGGAACTTCCTCGGCCTGCCGGCCATCACCGTCAATGTCGGGTACGACAGGGGTGGCCTCCCGATCGGGCTCCAGTTCATCGGCAGGCCGTGGTCCGAGGCCACCCTGCTCCACGTGGCCTTCGCCACGCAGCAGGCCTGCGCCAAGGGGTACAAGAAGCCGGCCGTCTTCTACGACCTCCTCAGCAAACAACAGGAGTGAGTGCGAGGACGTGTTTTGATCAGGCGTATAGGACGTTTGGTTGCCGGCCGGATGATGGATCGGAGAAGAATCGTACGTACCAGCAAACTTGTTACTCTATTACATATATATATCTATATAGCATACAGGATCATCTGAGAAGGAAGAGGGAGAGAGAGTTGAAGTTCAGTCAGTAGCGGTAATTAAATCAGACGCGGCTGCATAAATTTCAGTCCGGATAGATATATATTGCTGTTATATATAAGGCTGTAAGACTGTAACATTAGTCGCTCGGGGAACAAACGCTGTAACAGTAACGCAGTAGTAAGTATTATTATGTACTTTTCCATGAAAAAAAGCTTTTCAAGTGTTTCCCGAAAATTTTGTCTGTCAAAAAAAAATAAACAATCGGTAATGCTGCAGTCAAGCCGTCTGTCCGCCAGACGCTTGTTTCCACCAAAGCAATCGGGCCCTTCGATAGCTTCTAAGAAATCACGCCTTCTAAAAAAAATTGGATCATACCATATTTCTCCACGTACTCCGTCTCGCAACGTTCTCCACCGCCACACCCGCACTGCCCGCTCGCCGCGGCCACCTCCTCCACCGAGCCGGCGAGCCTCCTCGCCGCCGCTGGGTCAGGCGGCTCGCCGGTGCCTCTAGCTGGCCGAGGGCCAACCCACAAGCAGCCACATAGGCGCCCGGATGTCACGTGTAGCTAGGCGACAAGGAGAGGACACCGTCGCTGGCCGGGCCAAGCCAAGCGCAGGCGTAGCTGGCCATTGTCAGGCTGCGCTACCATCCTAGGCCGCCGGCGGGCCAGAATCGGCCATTCTCCGCTTTGCTCTGCATCATGCGAAAAAGGGTGAAAAACGCAGGTTAAAAGCGTATGTTTTAAGTGTTTCAGATGTTTCAGAGGTATGTTGCAAATGTTTCGGATGGTTGTTGCTAAAGTAAATCGGAATGTTGCATATGTTGCAATGGTTGTACACGTATATAACGTTTGTTCTAAATGTTTGATATGTGTTTACAGAAGTACGTTGCAAGTGTGTTTATGTAGATGTACGTGGATGTTGCATATGTTTCACACATATGTTGTAAGTGTTTTATCTGAATGTTGCGTATGTTTGCAATAGTTTTTTCAAATGTTTTCTGGTGTTTTTTTTCAAAGTGCTTCAGAAGCATGTTTCAAGTGTTTCATTTATCTTAGACATGTATGTTGTAAATTTTGCATCTAAATATTTTAAAAATAGATCGGACGTTGTATATGGGATGCACGTGGGAAGCAATCGTGAGCGGTCTCCACGCGCAGTCTGGCGCGCGCGGGCCCTGCGTGGGCACACGAAACACATGCGGGAGGCGTGCTACCGTGAGCGTGGGCGCGGAGTGCAGGGAATGCAGGCACGCGCAGGGGAACAGAGTGCAGCGCGACGTCAGGACGTTTGGGCCCTAGCACCACCGAACACATGTGGGCCGCCTATTCCGACGTGAAGGCCCCGCGGGGCAGGTCGCGCCCAATCGTGCTGTTGTCAGCGTCTTGGCCATGCGGTACACGTGGGCGCAGGCTGCGAGCCACAGACGTCGCGACCAGCACCTCCAGTTTTTTGTTGCTAGAACCTGGACGGTACTACCCTCCGATCCGCGCGTGTGATGACAGGGCATAACGGCCTGCGACGTTGAGCAGCTTGGCTTTGCTTGCATACCACAAAAGCAGAAGGTGGCTTAGGAATCTTAAATTTGAGAATCCAAGATTAGGTTTTGTTTATGAGAAATCTCCATAAGCTCTACAACAAGGAAGGCATCCCCTGGATTTCAATGGTGCTGGAGAAATATTATTCCAGTGGAAAATTGCCCATCCATATTGGAAAAGGCTTCTTTTGATGGCAAGACTTATGAAACCCTTGCCTACAAAGGAGTTGCTTTAGTCTCACTCAGCAGTGCTCAGAGATGTCTTTTCTAGGAAGATCTTTGGAAAGACAAGTCCTTAATCAGGTTCATTCATGACTTTTTACTCCTGTGCCCAGAACAATTTGAACAACAAGGCCACTCTCATGATCTCTTTCACCTCCCACTATCGGTTCAGGCCTTTGACGAACTGCATGCTTTGAAATCTAAATATTGAACAAGTTTATTTTTGACACAAAAAATGATACTTGTGTTAGCTTGGGAATGAATGGTTGATTGCATTCCATCTCAATGTACGTCAGTACATAAGGACGCCGGGGTGGCTTATCAGCCAACCACACAGGCGTACATGCCACTAATCAAGGATTGACTACTATAATTACACATACTATAATTACTATAGTCTAACACTCTCCCGCAGTCTAATCGGGAGCATCGCTAACGGTCAGGCTGGACCGAAACTCCTCGAACAATGAGGTGGGGAGACCCTTGGTGAAGACGTCGGCATACTGTGATGTCGTAGGAACGTGAAGAACTCGAACATGACTGAGGGCGACCTTCTCTCGAACAAAATGGAGATCGATCTCAACATGCTTCGTCCGTTGATGCTGCACTGGATTGCTGGAGAGGTATACGGCACTGACGTTGTCACAATATACCAGGGTGGCACGGCGAGGTGGGTAGCGAAGCTCAAGGAGTAACTGACGTAACCAAGTAGCTTCGGCGACACCGTTCGCCACAGCACGGTATTCGGCCTCGGCGCTGGACCGGGAGACCGTGTGCTGGCGCTTGGAAGACCATGACACCAGGTTGTCTTCGAGGAACACTACATAGCCAGAGGTCGACCGGCGAGTATCGGGACATCTAGCCCAGTCGGCATCCGTGTAGACAACAAGCTCCGTAGGGGAAGACCGGCGCATAGTCAGTCCAAGTGACATAGTTCCCTGTAGGTATCGCAAGATGCGCTTGAGAGCTGCGAGGTGTGGCTCCCGAGGATCATGCATATAGAGACAAATCTGCTGAACAGCAAAGGCAATGTCCGGACGGGTGAAAGTCAAATACTGTAGAGCACCTGCCAGGCTGCGGTACTGAGTAGCGTCACCAACAGGAGGTCCATCTGCAGATAATTTGGAGTGGAGATCAACAGGCGTGCTGCATGGCTTGCACGCACTTATCCCGGCGCGCTCCAAAATATCCTGAGTGTACTGCCGTTGGGAGAGAAACAGACCATCTGCAGAGCGTGTCACAAAAATGCCCAAAAAATGATGAAGGTGACCCATGTCCGTCATAGCAAACTCACGCTGAAGAGCCCCAACAACATGTCGGAGGAACTCGACAGAAGAGGCAGTGAGGACGATGTCATCCACAAAGAGCAACAAATAGGCAGTGTCTGACCCTCGGAGAGAAATAAATAGCGAACTGTCCGACTTGGTTTCAACAAATCCAATGGAAGAGAGATATGAAGCGAACCTGTGATGCCAAGCACGAGGAGCCTGCTTCAGTCCATACAGAGACTTGTTGAGTCGACAAACCAGGTCCGGACGGGAGGAATCCACAAAACCAGATGGCTGCACGCAGTACACTGTCTCGGTGAGAGTGCCATGTAAGAATGCAATCTTCACATCTTACTGATGGATGGGCCAGTTCTGAGAGAGAGCCAGAGAGAGAATAACCCGAACTGTCGCTGGCTTGACGACCGGACTAAAAGTCTCATCATAATCTAGACCAGGGTGCTGGGTAAAACCTCGAAGGACCCAATGTGCCTTGTAGCGATCAAGAGACCCATCTGCGTGCAGTTTGTGCCGAAAAATCCACTTGCCAGTAACAAGATTGACTCCGGGAGGGCGTGGTACCAGGCTCCAGGTGTCATTGGCGATTAGTGCATCAAACTCAGCCTGCATAGCGGAGCGCCAATTGGGATCTGACAGGGCAGCGCGAACGGAGCGGGGCAGAGGCGACATGGGCACAGCGTGGAGGTTGAGGCGATCCACGGGCTATGCTATGCCGGCCTTGCCGCAGGTGCGCATGGAGTGCGCATTGTCGACGGGGGTGATGGAGATCGGCCTGGTGGCGAGCGTGCGTCCGGTGGCCACGGCGCTACTGGCAACAGCCTATGTACGAGGCACAGGGGCAGCAGCGCCGGCCTGGGACGTGGTCGGCGAGGAGGCGCTGCTGGCTGCAGCGCCGGTAGTCGTCGCGGCGGAGGGGAAGCTGGGCGCCCCTGGCCCAGTGCTCAGTGCACCAGCGGAGGAGGGGCAGGGCACCCCTGGTCCAGCACGCGGTGCTGGAGACCGCGACCCGGCGCTCAACGGCGCAGGAGGTGGCGTGGGTGGCTCAACAGCCCCACGAGCGTCGGGAGAAGTACCTGCATGCACAAACTTTGCTCTAGGAATAGGAGCGGTGAGGTCACTGTCGTCAAGAAGAAAGTCCAAGGCTGTGGATGCCATTGGTGAGGTAGACATGTCGGCGAAGGGAAAAAAAGATTCATCAAAAACGACATGTCTGGAGGTGATGATGCGATTCGACTCTAGCTCGAGACACCGATAGCCTTTGTGTTTCGAGGAGTAGCCGAGGAAGACACATAGGGATGAACGGGGTGCAAGTTTGTGGGGTGCTGTGGAAGACATGTTGGGGTAACAGGCACAGCCAAAGACCTTGAGATGCTCATAGGATGGCTGGGTCGAATGTAAATGGTAGTAGGGAGTGGAGGAGGCGAGGGTTTTGGTGGGGAGCCGGTTGACGAGGTATGTGGCGGTGTGAAGTGCCTCAACCCAGTAAACCGGAGGGAGAATCGCCTGAAATAAGAGAGAGCGCAAAATGTTATTAAGAGTGCGAATGGAACGTTCGGCTTTGCCATTTTGCTGGGATGTGTAGGGGCACGACATGCGAAGGGTAACACCATGGGAGAGAAAGAACGTGCGGGCCAGGGAATTGTCAAACTCCCGGCCGTTGTCGCACTGGACGCTCTTGATGGTGGTGCCAAATTGCGTGTGAGCATAAGCAAAAAAATTGGCAAGAGTAGAAAAAGTGTCGGATTTTAGGCGAAGTGGAAATATCCAAATGTAGTGTGAGCAATCATCTAAAATAACAAGATAATATTTGTAGCCTGACACACTAAT